ATGGATGAGAGTGGGAGCATGGGAAAGACAGGAGGGAGGGAGGGAAGAGGAGCCTGCAGAGGTACACTCAGTGAACACAACCAAACACAGCACGGTTACTCAAACAGTTAAACATCTGAAAAAAGGACCATCAGCAGCTACTGTTGTAGCTCTTTTACAAGTGGAGTCAGTTTTTCAAGATCATACAGGAAAACAGTGGTGTACTGAATAATGGAAACCAATAATCTCTGATTCTTAATCTAATATTCCAAATAATATAGGCTGCAGTCTCATTATTTTAGCAAAAATAAACTAGATTTTTGAATTGAATTCATTTCCATTCTTTTATGCAACAGAAATATATTCCTTATAATTTTGAACCTTTCTCTACTGACATGCTGAAAGATTAAAAGGAGAGTCTCTAAGCTTTAAGACCTTTCATAACTGTGATCTATATAATATCAGAGATGGAAGTACTTAAATAATTCTCTCTTAGCTAGCTATAATTCAATTTCCTGCTTGTAGTAAACACAGAAAGCAAACCAGATTTATGCAATAAAAGTGCTCTTGTTGTCATGACAACAGGAAAAAGCAACAAGAGGAAAAATCTTAGCTCTTAGGAATGGCCTTTCACAAGGTGTCAGCGCCCATTAACCATGGTCAATACCCTGTCCTTCATTTAGTTTTGCCTTTACACAGCTTTCTTCGCTGCTGCAAATGTAATCCAATTTTCTCAGCTGCATATTAGCCTCAGGAAAGGCAAAGCGAATTTTGATCAGGGCTCTTTATCCTTTCCTGGGGGTAATCCACTATCTGTTCATCTTGAAAAACTGCCCAATGTCTTCTAGCTCCTACTCTAACTTATTTTTGGCAATTTATTATGCCAGTATCTCTGAGTTTGTTTTTATTATGACTAGGAAGAACATTATTAAATAATAAAAAGGTTAAGTAGATTGCAAAAGCCAGGCCAGGAATAAAATGAGGGTGTGGAGATGAACAGTGAAGTGGGATAATCATGGCAGTGATACATCTGTTCTGCCAGTCCAGTGTCAGCCTCAACAAACACCAGCTTCCAGACCAGCTCTAATATTGGTGATCTCATGGACGTACATCTCAGAACAATGGGCAGTTGGCAAGTTGCTGACTAATGGAGTTATCCATTAGATGGTTTCTTTGGAACAATCCTTTCCAAAGTCTAGTCCCCACCCATGTACATCAGAATCCCCCAGCAGCTTGCTAAAAATTTATATTTTTAAGTTCTATTCTTGATCTGCCAAGTCACAAATGCTGGGGGTTGACTTGAGGGATTTGCTTTGCTAAAAAGCACACTAAAATTTGAAAATCTTTGCCTTAGATCAAAGTGTGAAAAAAAAGATTGAAGGAAATCCCATCTGACATTAAGTACTTAAGAAGGGAGGAGGAGGTTGCATCTTAGGTGAAAAAAGGGAGGCAGACAAGTTCCTTAGGTTTTATCTCAGTTCTGACTGCTATAGCTTTTAAGCTGGACCAAAGTGTGCTCTAAAAACACATGCTATATAATGCTGGTGAGTGTCCGTATTACAGCCTCAAAAGTGAGCCTGCTTCTAAGCTAATGCATTCTGCCAGGCACTAAGGATGCCAAAGATGAAGTTTGCAGCTTCCTAGAAGAGCCATGCAGGTAAACTAGCAGTTTAAATATCATGTGGTCCACAATGAGATGCAATTTTACACTCACTAGTATGGCTATATTAAAAAAAAAAAAAAAGGTAGTGACAAGTGTTGGCAAGGATGTAGAGAAACTAGAGCCCTTATATATTGCTTGCTAGGCAAATCACTGGAATGTAAAATGATGTACCTCTTTGGAAAACATTTTGGCAGTTCCACAAAAAGTGAAACATAGAGTTACTGTGTCTCCCAGCAATTCTACTCATAGGCATATGCCCAAAAGAATGGAAAATATATGTTCATACAAAAATTTGTATACAAATGTTCACAGAAACATTGTTTATAATAGCTAAAAAGTGAAAACAACCCAAATGTCCATCAACTGAAGAATGGATAAACAGGATGTGGTATGTGCATGCAATGGAATATTATTTAGTAATAAAAAGGAATGAAGTACTGATACATGCTACAACATGAATGAACCTTAAAAACATTATGCTAAGGAAATAAGCCAGATATAGAAGGACACATTGTTCCATTTATTTGAAATATAGGCAAAGCTGTAAAGACAGAAATTAGGTCAGTGGTTGCCAGGGATTGGGGGAAGGAAGGAATGAGGAGTGACTGCCAATGAATACAGGTTTCTTTTTGGGGTGAGAAAAATATTAGAATTAAAGAGTGATGATGGTTGCACAACTTGGTGAATATATTAAAAACTACTGAATTGTGTACTTTAAAAGAATGAATTATGTGATGTATGAATTATATTTCAATTTAAGTGATAAAAGAAATGGCCAAGAAAAAATAATACAGTTGACTACATTTTAAGGATGCTATGTGTGGTAGAGATACCATATAGAGGTAATCAAAGGCCACACAGCACACCCACAAAAGGAAAGGACACCACTTATTTGGTAGGGTAGGAAAATGTTAGGGAAGACTTCCTAAAGGAAGACTTTAAGAATGAGGAAGATATCCAAGGCCAGTCAACACTGGGGACATAACCTTTTTGAGAAACAGTAATTGGACATGACAAGACAGTGGAGGTGTTGGTAGACAAAGAAACTAGAGACGAAGGCACGGAAGACATCAAGAAGAGGCTTGAGGGATTCAAATCCGTGGAGAAAGGGTGAATTTTTAAGTAAGCGATGTTGGAATAACTGGAGAACCGTATGAAACAAAGATAAAATTGCAATCACTCCTTATACCACATGCAAGTATTGATTGCAAAGGGATTCGAGGTTTAAATAATTTTTTAGGATGAAACCATAGAATACTAAAAGAAAGTATGAGCAAATTCTTCTGTAACCGGGAATGGTGAAAACTTCCTTGACTGTGACTAAAAATTTGGGAAAAAGATTGAGAAATTTGACAACTTGAATCTAATGATGCCTCTAGATCTACCTACCAGTTTGCAGGCAATACAGGAGATCAATAAAACCTGTTCAATGACACTGCGGGGTGCAATCCACAAAATCCGGAATGTGGGTTCTTCTACAGATTTGTAATGCTGTTTTGTGAGCTGCTTTCTTTAACAAATAAGTGTCCCAAAAAAGGAGAGAGGGGTACCCTTTACATTAAAAGAGACTCAAAAGACATATGAACCAACTACAGTGTATGGGTCTTGTTTGTGCCCAGTTCTTTTTAACTGGAAAAAAATTTTGAAACAATTGAAAAAATTCAAACACTGTGGATGTTAGTAATTGTTAGGATTATTAATTTTATCAAGTGGGATAATGGTGTTGTATTTAAGTTCAAAAGAGAAGGCTTCGTGTCTTAGAGATATAGACTGAACTGTGGTGCGGATAAATGATACGGTCTTTGGTGTGCACCTCTTTTTTTTTTTTTTTTTTGAGAGGGAGTTTCACTCTTTGTTGCCCAGGCTGGAATGCAATGGCACAATCTTGGCTCACTGCAACCTCTGCCTCCTGGGTTCAAGCAATTCTCCTGCCTCAGCCTCCCGAGTAGCTGGGATTACAGGCATGGGCCACCACGTCCTGCTAATTTTGTATTTTTAGTAGAGACTGGGTTTCTCCATGTTGGTCAGGCTGGTCTCAAACTCCCAACCTCAGGTGATCCACCCGCCTCAGCCTGCCAAAGTGCTGGGATTACAGACATGAGCCATCGCGGCCGGCATGGTGTGTACTTTCAAATAATCCAGTGGTGGGGGTGTATGGGAAATAGGAGGTATAAATGAAATAAAATACATTTGTTAGTAATTATTAAAACTGGATAATAAGTACATGAGCACTCATTATAGTATTCTTGTTACGTTGGGGTAAATCCAAAAATTCTTCAGAGCCACGGAAGGCCTTTTCAACAGGGGAATGAGGAATGACAAATGAAACTGCCCTTCTAGCAAGTGCAGCCCTGGAGTCGGAAGATTAGACAGGGGCCTGCCAAGGAGGGTCACTGTGATGCAGGACTGAGCTATGAGAGTGTCACTGGGGGTGGAGGGGAGGATCTGGGTGTGAACAGTATTAAGGACATAGAAGCAAAGGAAACAAAGAAGCGGGAATCAAGGATGAATCTCCAGTTTCAGGCTTAGATGAATGGCTGCATGGTGGGGCCATTCAACAATCAAGGGAATTCAGAAGAAATTAAAGTTAAGAGTGAAGGGAGTGATCATTCAATTTCAGATGCTTTGAGTGTGAGGTGCCTGTGGAAGATTCAGAGCTTAAGAAAGAGGTCTCGCTAGAGATATGGTGGCAATTTTCAGCTGCAGCATAATTTCCATGGAAACATGTAGAGTGTAGGCACAAGAAAACTCTCCCTTCAGAGCAAGCACTTCCTATCAAATTAGTAAGTTACTCTTGGGCTATTTTAACATTTAATAAGCAATGCAGTGGCTTAAGGAGAATGATATGAGAACCAAATGGCAGTATATGACATCTATGCTATTCTGTTTCCTCCTAATTTCCATTTTGAATGTGCGATAGATCATTAGGGCTTAATTGCAGGATTTTCTTGTTTCATTTTCTTTCTTCTAATAAAGAAGTTTTCAAGAGAATACTAAGGCATCAGAAAAACAAAATCTCGTGTGGAAGATTAAATCTTGTTGTTGTTGTTTTCACCCTATCTCTCTTCTATTTTGTTCTCTTCCATGTTGCCTATGGTATTACAAAAATTGAAAGAAGGCCAGGTGTGGTGGCTCACACCTGTAATCCCAGCACTTTGGGAGGCTGAGGTGGGCAGACCACTTGAGGTCAGGAGTTCGAGACCAGCCTGGCCAACATGGTGAAACCCCGTATCTACTAAAAATACAAAAATTAGCCAGGCATGGTGGTGCACACCTGTAATCCCAGCTACTTGGGAAGCTGAGGCACGAGGATTCCTTGAACCCGGGAGGTTGCAGTGAGCCGAGATCATGCCATTGCACTCCAACCTAGGCGACAGAGGGAGACTCTGTCTCAAGAAAGAAAAAAACAAAAGAAAGAAAGAAAACACTAACACCATCTAGATCCAAAGTCATGTTCACTTTCCTGTCTTTAAAATAACCATAATAGGGTTAAATTCTTGGATTGATATGCATGTATTCAGAAAGACCTATGGAGTTACTGATATAAAAAAGCATTTTGTGTCAAGGATTGATTTATACCTTAGAGCAAGGGAAAGAGAAGAATACTCAGTCCTGTGATATCTGTTGCTGGGGAAGCGTCATGATTTATTGTTGGTGGGAGCATCAGGCCATCTGTTAGGCTTTAATAAAGTGTGGTCATAACATTTTGATTTGAAACAAAGAAGGATTTACCAACCCAAAATTAAAGTTTTTCAGCAATTGAAGGTCTCATAGGATTTGTTTTTGAAGGAGGGTGGCTTTGTGTGTGTTGTTTTATTTTTAGATATTTGTATCTTTAGTATTTATATTCAAGTAAGAAGAAAAACACATCAGTATCTTTCTTTTTCTGTTCTGGGTTCATTCTCAAAATCTTGTGTCGCCTGCTCCGTTCAAACTCCTCAGCCTGCTGTTTGAAGGCTTTATAATTTGGTCTCATCTAAAATTAATGGAATCAAAATTTTAGCAGGTTGGATTTAGGCATCATTTAAAAAAATTCTCCCCATGCAATTTCAATGTGCAATCAAGGTTGAGACCCACTCTGGTTACAATATGAATGAAGAGAAACAACTGGGGCATTTGGATTACCTATCATGAGAAGCAAATATCAGAAATTAAAGTGTTTCTGAACCTCACAGGGCAACTATGGTGTGTGTGCGCGCGCGTGTGTGTGTGTGCATGCGTGTGCACGTTTTGCATTACCTCTTTCTCCCCTGCCATGCAGGTGACCGCCGTGAGGGTGTATGTGAACAGTTCCTCTGAGAATCTCAACTACCCGGTCCTTGTGGTGGTTCGTCAGCAGAAAGAGGTGCTGTCCTGGCAGGTTCCTCTGCTCTTCCAAGGACTGTAAGTGGGTTTTCTTCCAGGCAACTTCACTACATTTGGTTTTCTTCAATGTCCTAGAACTTAATTGATCTTTTCCCTAATGAAAGGAAAAATCAGACATTTGGAATGTCGAGACATTCTGCATACAAAGTGCAAATAATGATCATGGTGCACTCTCTGACCTGTTCGCTCTGTTCAATTTTTAGATGAGCACTCTACCTAGACTGGCAACACCTAGAAGAGCTTTTACCATTTTAAAAACATACTATGATACTCTATAGCTTTTGGGTACTGGGTCAACCAATAGCCCTCCAATGGGCTATGTCCAGCAGTTAACATAAATGAGTAACTCTTCCCCTGTTCTTCAAAATGCCCATCGTGTGTCTGCATTCTTCATTCAATAATATTTATTGAACACTATTAAGTGGTGGGTGCTGGAGATGCAGCAGTGAAAAAACAACAACGTGCCTGCCCTCCTCGAGTTTCTATTTTTGCAGGGGAGAAGTGTATAAGATACTACTGCACTAATAAAAAAACTTGGAAGGCATGCAAAATGCATGCATAACATTATTTTTAAAGGTTGAAGAACTCGAGGACTGAAATACTGACTCTGATAGCTTTGACTTGGACTCCAGGGCTTTCCTTACTCTCTATTTTAGCAATAGTTTGAAGAGTAGAAAATGGGAATCAGCTGGTTGTTCTATCAGGACAGTTTCCTCCTCAAATTGGATATTTATTCCTCACTGAATTAGGAGAATGGCTTAGCGTAATGTAGATGCCACTTAAGTGAACTAGTCAGCACAGAACAGTCCTCACATCCCTGCTATTATATCATACAACCCAATGCCAACAACACTAGTTCTAAAATTACTGTTGATAGTTCCAGTCTAAAATTCAAAACATAAGGACTTGAAAACAAATTTGGAGAGAAGCAAAATGAGATAGGCTCCTTTCCCCACTCATTCATTGAGTCTCTTTCTTGTTCTTGTTTATTTTTTTCCCCTATATTGGCTGCTTCAGATACCAGAGGAGCTACAACTACCAAGAAGTGAGCCGCACCTTATGCCCCTCAGAAGCAACCAACGAGACGGGCCCCTTGGAGCAATTGATATTTGTAGATGTAGCATCCATGGCACCCCTGGGTGCCCAGTACAAACTGCTAGTTACCAAGCTCAAGCACTTCCAGCTCCGGTAAGCGGGACTTTCTCTGTTTACGTGTCTGTGCTTCCTGTGCTTGTGGATGCTCAATTTATCTTCCATCCTTACAGACTGGGACTCTCGAAGGAAATTACCCACTTAGCGTATGATTTTAGCACCTGCTGAACTCTCCTTCCCATAACTGAGCAGCAGGGCCTTCATCTATACAAAAGAGTGGGAGTGCAGAAGGTGAGAGTGGCTGACATCATAGGTGAATCTGTTTTCAGGGATCAGTGTGAGGGTCCTGTCCAACCTGAAGCCCAGGCAAGAATGACTGGTGACTAAATACTTTTGTATTCCCAACCGGTGCCACACTCCTGAAGGAAGTTTTGTTTTAGTTCTAGGGAAGACATTAAGCTACTTTCCTTGTCATTATTATTACTCCTGCTTTCTCCTTCCAGGTTAGTAACATAGGTAGGAATGCCGCTTTGTCCTTTCTTGGTGTGACTAGTATTGTTTTCCTCCTGTTTTTTAAAAAACTAAAATAAACAGGCAAGCTCATTGAAAAAATAAGCATGAGACTTGCACACTTCACTAAAGAAGCTACCCAAATAGTAAAAAAAAAACAAAAAACAAAAAAAACACAACCTCATTAGCTATAAGAAATGTAAATTAAAACCATAATGGGATTCCATTACAACTACCAAATTGCTATAATTTGAAAGGCCTACATTCCACTCCTTTGATCTATACCCAACTCCTAGATATCTAATTGTGGTATTCATTCAGTGGGATACTACCCAAAAATAAAAATGAACAAACTATTGCTATACCCAACAACATGGATGCATCTCACAATGTTGAGAAATAGAAGACAGGCCAGGCACGGTGGCTCACGCCTATAATCCCAGCACCTTGGGAGGCTAAGGCAGGTGGATCACCTGAGGTCAGGAGAGCGAGACCAGCCCGACCAACATGGTGAAACCCCGTCTGTACTAAAAATACAAAAAAAAAATTAGCTGGGCCAGGTGGCAGGCGCCTGTAGTCCCAGCTAATCCGGAGGCTGAGGCAGGAGAATGCTTGATCCCAGGAGGGGGAGGTTGCAGTGAGCCAAGATCATGCCATGCACTCCAGCCTGGCTGACAGAGTGAGACTCCGTCTCAAAAAAAAAAAAAAAAAAAACAGAGGCCAGACAAAAGGAATGTATGCTATTTTATTCCATTTATATAAAATTTACAGGCAGGCAAAACTATTCTGTGACGTTAGAAGTCAGAATAGTGGTGCCTTTGGGGAGGATAGAAGTGCATGGCTATGTTTGATGATAATTTATTCAAATATATACTTATAACTGCACACTTTTCTATAATACATGTTTGTTATATTTCAATTAAAAAGTTAATTTTTTAAAAAATCAGAATATTTCAAAATCGTACATGTCACTGTTTTCCAGCTTATTTTTCTGATCAGAAAGTTTGGCTCTACAGTAGAGTTCTCCTTAAATTTAAGGCAGTTTATAAAGACATCTGTAGCCAGTAAAGTTGCTAATGGGACTCAAATATTTATCTTGGTCTTCTCTACACTCTTTGACATAGTGTTATACCCATACAGAAACATGGACAGATAAATGAATGAATGGTCAGAAGGATGGAGAAGTAGTCACAGTATTTTTTCTCAAGTCCCTCCATTAATTCTGGTGTTGGAAAAGGTGACATGATAATTTTAAGAGCAAAGAACACTCATCCTCCACAAAAACAAGGAGAAAAAGATTCTCTGGTGAATAACATCCACCCAGAGCGATTAAATCAGAGGCCCTAGGGGAGAGGTTTGGGCACTGGTAAATTGTTTGAAGTTCCCCAGGTGTTTCTAATGTGCAGTCAGAGTTGAGAACCACTACCCTAAAGCAATTTCTAAATATGGTGCTTCAGTTTAATTTAATATATATATTTTGAATCCGAGTCTTTCTCTGTCACCAGGCTGGAGTGCAATGGCACGATCTCAGCTCACTGCAACCTCCATCTCCTGGGTTCAAGCGATTCTTGTGCCTCAGCCTCCCAAGTAGCTGGGATTACAGGTGTGTGCCACACTCCTGGCTAATTTTTGTATTTTTAGTAGAGACGGGATTTGACCATGTTGCCCAGGCTGGTCTCGAACCCCTGGGACTCAAGCGATCCACCCGCCTCAGCCTCCCAAAATGCTGGTATTACAGGCATGAGTAACCGTGCTTGGCCTAATTTAATAATTTAAAAATCTACTTGTGATATTTAACCATATGGGAATACACATTTGATGGGAGTGATAACATGTTACAGTACTTACATAGAGTGCAGTTTGAACTGCAGAGAAGCCTTGCTTTTATCAACTGATCTCTGTCTTTAATCAATCAATCAAGTGTCACCTGGTAGCAGTGGCAGTGTCACTTGGTGGTAGCATATTTGAATTGTAGGAATGGTCTTCTGTAAGCTTAATTAGAACCTTTTGAGAACTGAATGCTGTGAAAATAAAGTCATAAGGTCACAACTGTAGCGAGTGTTAATGAATTATATGCATGCTGATGAAATTGCAAATCTATTCCCTCATGTTGTTTTCTGTTTTTACCTCATAATATGACTTAGCCTCAGCAACCAGACTTTAAAAGCATTTCAAAATCACACATTTACACACCATCCTGGCTGGTGACCTGGAAATCCAAAGGATGATGGTAGTGGGGAAATGTTGAGGATTGTGATGAGAAATGGGCTCAGGAATTGAGAGAAACACTGAAGAAGTAATTTGAAATCTCTAAGATCGAAGTTTCTATTGTACGGTTTTGCATGGCAGACTATAATGTACATAGAACACATTTTGGGAATTTTTTCCCCCTAGAATCATACGTTTTAAGAACTGAAGGACCTTTGGGAATCTAATCCACCCGCCTCATTTTAACAGATGAGCAAACTGCTGCCCAGAGAAGTTAAGTGACTTGTTCAAATTCACACAGCTAGGAAAGGGCAAAATCAAGGCTAAATTGTACTTCTGACTCCCGGTCCTGCACTCTTCTCACTATGACAAGCTATTTCTACTTTCTATTTAAAACTCTCCTCCCAATGGTTTGTGTTTCTCTAAATATGTTTCTCAATTCCTTGAAACATTTACTTAAATCCAACTTTACTAGCAGAGCACAGTGGCTCCCGCCTGTAATCCCAGCTACTCAGGAGGCTGAGGCAGGAGGATGACTTAAGTCCAGGAGTTAAGACTAGCCTAGGCAACATAGTCTCTAAAAAAACAAAAACAAAAAAAATTTGCCAGACATGATGGTGTGTGCTTGTAGATCCAGTTACTCAGGAAGTTGAGGCAAGAAAACTGATTGAGCCCAGGAGTTTGAGGCTGTTTTTAGCCACGATCGTGCCACTGCACTCTAGGCTGAGCAACAAAATGAGACCCCATCTCTACAAAATTCCTTTAAAATTAAAACAACTCTGCTTTAAAGCATTACTCCCTGCCATCTACCTATCCTCTGCACACACACACACAACTGCGCCACTACTCTTTTTCTACACCCCAGTGCCTAGGCGTTTAGTGTTGCTAGAGTGTGAAATTGCAGGCAGGCAACAGCAGATGGTCACAGAAACAGGCAAGCGTGTGATCATGGGGTAGGAGGATCTTAGGAAGGGGCATTAGGAAATTTAAACAGGCCAGGCGCAGTGGCTCACGTCTGTAATACCAGCACTTTGGGAGATCAAGGCGGGCACATCACCTGAGGTCAGGAGTTCACGACAAACCTGGCCAACATGGTGAAACTCCATCTCTACTAAAAAAAACAAAAAATAGCCGGGCGTGGTGGCACACGCCTGTAATCCCAGCCACCTGGGGGGCTGAGGCAGAAGAATCATTTGAACCGGGGAGGCGAAGGTTGCAGTGAGCCGAGATATTACACCACTGCACCCAGCGTGGGCCATAGAGAAAGACTCCGTCTCACCAAAAAAAAAAAAAAAAAATTAAATAGTTGTCTATATTGTGTATGGAGAATGGATTTGAAGAGGACAAAACAGGAGGCAGAGAAGTTAGAAGGCTGATGCAGTGGTCAAAATAAATAATGAGGAGGTGAATTGAAATATCAGGGGAGGCAAAATTGCTGAAATTTGATTAGATATGAGGGAAAAAGAAAAGAAAGAGTCATTAATGTCAATGTGGCTTGTAGATGGTGGGGCCACTAAGAGAAAATGAGAATTTTGATAAGAAAGAGAATAGATGATAGCTTCACTTTGGGACAGGTTGAGTTTGAAGTACAGATATCTGGCGAAGTGTTGGATGTATACTAATATGACACTTAGAGGGGAGCTCTGAGTTACAGTTAGGCAGACTAGTGCAGTCTTGATGAACACACCAAGAAGCCTGGTCCACATGATGCCTGGGCAAGACAAGGTTACAGGAGATAGGGCTGGAGAAACAGGCAGTGCCCAACTTTGATCTTTAAGATGTTGGATGCTAGACTATGGAGTGGAACTTCATCTTTCAGGTTATGGGAGCCATTAAAGGATTGTGAGCAACAGGATAGCATTCAGAGCTCTGATTTCTAGAGATGACTTGAGTGGCAGTGTGGAAGAGGAATTACAGAGAGGAAAGATGAGGAACAAATAGGCAAATGAAAAGTTATTTGAATGGGGAAGGAATAAAAAATGATTAGAACTTGAATGTGTATGGCAGCAACAAGGTTGTAAGGGAGAAAACAAGTCAAATAGTACACATGGAGATAATTCATAATTCAGCGAATATATGTGGCAGAATCAAATTTATAGTCCTCTATGAATATTTGCAGACTTCAGCCCTCCCCTAGCCTTCTAAGTAGGGATCTTGAGTCTGTCTTAAGAGGAGAGAGTGTGTGAGTGAGATAGCTCAGCTACCATGCTGTGAAAAGTAATAGATTTTTTGAAGAAATGGGTGGATAAGAGAATTTTAGACGATTTTGCTATGTGTCATACTACATAATCACCTTTTGGTATTTTGGAGGAGACTACGATAAAGATTTACATTCCTTTTTTTTTTTTCTCTCTCTCTCTTAATGATGCTGTACTGGGCAAACATGGTGCTTCAGGTGGAGGCAGGTTACTTTTACACTAATAGAATGAGTAGGACCTGGTGATCAATCAAATGTGGAAAGTGATAGAAAGGGGATAGTCCAAGATGACTCCTAGGGTGATGTCAGAAGTCTGGTGAGGTTTACTGACAAAGGGACATAGTAGGTCAGGATCAGGGAAGTGACAGCACATTCCCTCTTATCATGTTGAATTTGAGGTATTCAAGGGATGGTCAAGTGCAGAAGTCCAGCAGGGGATCACTATTCTGTGACTGAAGCTCAGGAGATGGCCCTGGGCTGGACATAGGGACTTGAGATTCACTGGCATTATTGTGGCATTTACAGCAGCTGGATACACATTTTAAAATGAGTTGATCAAGAACAAGGCTGTGGGTAACATTCTCATTTAAGGGATGGTCTGAGAAACTAAAGCTGTCATAAGGGGCTGAGTAGACACAGCCAGAAGTGTGGGAGAAATCACAGGGGGTTAAGTCACTGGATTTAGTACTTAGATAGTGATATGGTCTCAATGTCTGCGTTCCCCAAAATTCATATCGAAATCTCCACAGTGATGGTACTCGGAGTAGGGGCCTGTGCGAGGTGATTAGGTTGTGAGAGTGGAGCCCTTGTGAATGGGATTAATACCTTTATGAAAGAGTCCCCCAAAAGGCCCTTTGTCCTTTATACCACATGAGGATGCAGTGAGAAGGCACCATCTATGAGGAAGCAGGCTCTCATCAGACACCTTGCTGTTGAACATCCTAGCCTGTAAAACTGTAACAAATAATAGATTTCCGTTCTTTACAAGTCACTGAATTGACGGTATTTTTGTTATAGCTGCCTGAATAGACTAGGGCAGGAGCTGACTGTTTCCCTTAGCAAAGGCAATTTCAAGGGAGTGGTGGAGAGAGAATCCTGATAGCAGTGGGTGGAGGAAAGAATGAAAGAGAGATAAACATGGAATACTCCTAAAAGTAGCTGGTTTGTGAAGAGAGGAAGGATACAGCATGACATTAAAGGATGGAGATCCAGGGAAAAGGGAGGCATTTGGGTGGGGTGTTTGTTATTTATTTTGAAAATGGTTGAGACTAGAATATATTTACAAACAAAGAGGTAGAAGGGCAGATTAAATTCATAGGAGAGTTGGATATTTGTAGAAGCAAAGTCCCAGAGTATGATAGAAAGAATGGGAATTTGGTACATGAGTGCGGAGTTTATACTTAGACCAGAGGAATGAAGGGCGGACAGTTCCCAATGACAAGAAGGTGGGTGGGAAAGCTACAGTCCTGAAGGGAGTTCATGGCAGATGGCAGGAGATAACAGGGAATGACATTCTGAAGTTCATAGTTCAGGTGAATAATAGCATATCATTTCCTTCAACAAACAAAGGAGGGGTTTTGAATGTCCACTGTGCTCTGTGCTAGGGGCTTGTTAATCAAGATGTGTAATGCTGTGACTCTCACAGTGCTCTCTGGTACTCACCTCAAAAACTACTGAAAGTTTGTCCTGCCTCTCTTTCTACATAGTCTTTCGTCCCATCTCTTTTATTTTTCTTCTACTTGGTTACTCTCCTGTCTATATTTCTTCTCCCTCTCTCTACCCGACCCATGCGCCCCTCTCTGCCTCTTCTCCTGACTCCCCTATCTGCACCTCTGTCTGTCAAGTCCATGGGTTTTTGCCCTTCTCCCCTTTCTTGCAATAGCCAACACAAGGAAACAAAATTGTTTTTTAGCCTCTTATGTTTAACAAATAAACATAACATAAACAGGTTAAAATGTGTTTCATCTTTAAAACAAATCAGTTGAAATTGTTATACTTCTTTCTCTAAAACTAACAATCTATGAGCTTCAGTTAGCTTTGTTCTGTTGTCAATGACCTGTAATAAAATAAACCTTCCCCACCTCTGTTAGGGTTCATGTGGAAGGAAGCAGAATATTTCACCTGCAACAGATACAATGTTTATTTTGCATATACTGCCGACTTCATGAGAAAGTACGGACATAAATGATAGTCTTTTTTTTTTTTTTTTTTTTTTTTTTTTTTTTTGAGACGGAGTCTTGCTCAGTCACCCAGGCTGGAGTGCGGTGGCGCGATCTCGGCTCACTGCAAGCTCCGCCTCCCGGGTTCTCGCCATTCTCCTGCCTCAGCCTCCCGAGTAGCTGGGACTACAGGCGCCCGCTACTACGCCCGGCTAGTTTTTTTTTTTTGTATTTTTAGTAGAGACGGGGTTTCACCGTGTTAGACAGGATGGTCTCGATCTCCCGACCTCGTGATCCGCCCGTCTCAGCCTCCCAAAGTGCTGGGATTACAGGCTTGAGCTGCGCCCGGCCAATGATAGTCTTAAACACAGTAACATGTTTTACAAGCTTGCATGCATTGTACTAGCAAATAAAACATAAAGAACAAGAAACAAAACAGAAAGTGAATATCGAATCTTCATCCATTTCATATTATGACTGAAACTCAAATGATGGGGAAAATTAAAATGGCCAAAAAATACGGGTTGCTTCTGCAAATTTCATGCTGTCACGAAAAACCGGTGGACTTGAAAGATGAGGGTGCAGATAAGAGAGTCAGGAGAAGTCATGTCGCCAGCCAAGAAAATCGTGTCCTCTTTGTTCTCTGATCTGGCAACAAAGAGAGTTGAAGGACTCATGTTGCCCTGGTAACAGCGGGAGACACTCCCAGACTGCTGAAAGGCTCTACCCAGCCCACACACAGTATCACAGGTCCCAACTCTGGCCAAGGACTCTCTGGCCAAAGATTCTCTGGAGCAGAAACATAACTGGGTTTGACACTCACTTTGGCTTCTTTAGGCGACTTACGGACAGAAGTTTTCAGTTCTGCTTCAGAAGAAACAATCCTCAACATTGATGATGATTTCTGTTACAAGTAGATATATAAAAATTACATCTATTGTTGTGAGCTAAATTCCGAGCCCGGCCTGATGACAGCCTAAGTTGTGGTCATTACCTTTATAAATAGTGCTCAAATTTTATGACTTCTAAATAACACCTCTAATTATACACCTCTTGCTTAAATGTTTTGAAATGCCCTTTCTAAAGAAATCATTAATTTTAAAACAGGTATTTAATTTTTATGAAAGGAAAATCAAGAGTGGAGAGAAAAAAATCTTCAGAGAGCCCCAGGGGATGAAGCTAATGAGAAATCCCAGAAGTTCAAGTTCAGATGCCCAGAAAAGCAGGGCACATTGGAGGGGCAGGAGCATGCACCCCCAGGTGTGGGGTTCAGCAGCCTGGGGGTCTGAGACTGCCGTGGACTTGTGTGCATGATCTTCATGGCTAACGATGAGGCAAGAGCCAGAAAGGCAAAAGCCCAAAGTAGTCCTTATAAAACTATAGAGAAGACCACATTTGTCTTTGTGACAAACACTTGAACTGTTTCATAGATGCTCATGGCAGACAGCCCTCTATGCTACCAATTTATGCTTCCTATCTCTTCACACTCTCCTTTCTTCAGTGCCTAGATCATTGCTGTCTTACATGGAAGAATGAAAGTATCTAATAATGTAATTCACAGTAAATTACTAATTGAAGAGAAAAAAGCCTCATTATATTCTTTTGGTGGTATTTATATTTTAAAGGAGGGTCTTAGAAGGCAATGCCTAACCCAAAGGGAACTAAATCTTGGGGAATTTCAGCCAGTGTGGCAGCAATCAGGGAGCTATTTGGGGATAGTAAGGGCATGTTTCGGTCCCTAGCCACCATCCCATGTGGTTATCTATTCACCGTGTTTAGTAAAAAGTGATCCATTTTGCCATGGGTCCATCAAAATTATTTTGAAATAGTATCTACAGTATCCAAAAGGACCTTGAACCTGGGTTTCCTCTCTCCTTCAGCCCACTTCTGTTACCTAAACCCTGTGCTTGACTGTAAAATCAAGCACAAGAGAGTCCCAAGGCAAAAGTGGCTACAAAAGTAAACAACTACCTTATATAGATATGGCTTCATGGATATTTAAAGACATAAAAATAATAATCCCCTTCCCCAGTCTGGTCATTCTTGAGCGTTGAAACCACCAAGTCCCCATGCAGTCTGCTTCGTCAGTTTCATGGGACGAGAACTCCCCTCACCAAGGGTGAAGCTCTCCTCGAGTCTACTTTAAGATGGCTTTCTTTTAAATAAATAATTTTTGCTCACTAACTTATACTTTTCTCTCACTTTTCCCCTTTCCCTTCTGCCACTTACGTTTCTCAGGACAAATGTTGCCTTTCACTTTACTGCCAGCCCCTCCCAACCTCAGGTAAGTGAATGGGTTCCAAGAGTTATCAACATCCTACGCGTTGGTGTTGCCTTCCTGTTAGTGAAACCATGTTACCACGGTAGAGTTAGCATGTGGGGTTGCCCTTGACCTTTCACAACTTGAAGTATATTCGTATTCCACTTTATTCTTTGTGTTACAGGAATTTTAGACATAATATTTAATCATATCACTTTAATAGATATAAAATGGGCAGCATGCTATTTGTTTTCAGGTGTTCCTTGGTTCAACCTTCATTGAGCAAATCGTGTGCCCACTATGCACCAAGAACTTCGTTAGACTGCACCTGGTGCTGGAGACACAAAGATGAAGAACAGAGAGACACAACTTCTGCCATTATGAACCCGATAGCTGGGAAGCGGTAGTGGGGATAGGGAGTAAAAGGCTGACACCAAAGAGATACAGAAACAATTAATTAACCTGGAAATACAATGAAAATAAGACAGATTTTAATGTTTACAATGTTATAAGTGTAATAAATTAGTTTCTCCTCTCATAAAGAAAGAGCCAGAATGTTGACAAAAAATATTAGGAGAATTAGATATTTTTGTTGTGCTCTGCAGTAAACCATAAACACAAATAGAATAAATACATGAAAACTTGGATTAAGTCAGGCTGTTTTTCTCGTGTCATTTCTAGTTACCTTCCTTTTTTCTTTCATAAGCTTCTGAAGACAAAACTCTATATAATAGCATGTTTGAAACAAGTTTATTTGTTGTATGTTTTCTTTAGTCTGTAATATAGCTTTGGTCATAAATAGCTACTTAGGCTTTGCTTTGGAGTAGTAAAACTGGGATTAACATGGACTTGTCGTAAATATACTACAATCACTGTTGTGCTGGTAAATAGTTCACAACTGGTTTTCAGAGAGAAAGCCCTGATTTGTGGTGTTTGCCCATTTCTGTGGTGTAAATACCTCCACTATGACTGATTTTAAGCTCCCATTGTGATGTCACTGGGAAGTGACTAATGCACAATCAGCTCTCCCAAGCCTGAATGAACCAACTCCCACCCCTTTTAAACTTCCTGTCTGTGAAAGTCTCCGCAATGCATATATACTGCCACCCAGTGGCAGGAGAGGGCCAAAGGCCCTTAATATACCACCCTCAACATTTATTGACTATTTAATTTCAAGAAATATTTTACAAGCACTAATTAGTAGGAGTAAAGAGAGAAACCTAAAAAAAGCGGGGAGGGGGGAATAACTTTCATTCTAGCTACAGGAATAGTATAGTCTAACAGTCCTGTACAGAGCTATAATAAATATGATATACTGACCAGGTGTGGTGGCTTGCACCTGTAATCCCAACACTTTGGGAGGCTGAGGCAGGAGTATCACTTGAGGCCAGAAGTTCAAGACCAGCCTGGGCAACAGAGCAAGACCCTGTCTTTACAAAAACTTTAAAAATAAAAAATTAGCCGGGCATGGAATCTTGCACGTATAGCTTTGACTATGCAGGAGGCTGAGACAGAAAGATCATTTGAGCCCAGGAGGTCAAGACTACAGTGATACATGATTGTGCCACTGCAACCTAGCCTGGGTGACAGCGTGAGACCCTATCTCTGAAAAAAAAATTTAAATAATTTGCATCTAAACCCCAAACTGGACTAAAATATACTTAGAACAAACTAATAAAACAGGCCAGGCGCAGTGGCTCATGCCTGTAATCCTAGCTCTTTGGGAGGCCGAGGCGGGCGGATCACGAGGTCAGGAGATCGAGACCATCCCGGCTAACACAATGAAGCCCTGTCTCTACTAAAAATACAAAAAATTAGCAAGGCATCGCAGCGGGCACCTGTAGTCCCAGCTACTCGGGAGGCTGAGGCAGGAGAATGGCGTGAACCCGGGAGGTGGAGTTTGCAGTGAGCCGAGATTGCTCCAGCCTGAACAACAGAGCAAGTCTCAGTCTCAAAAAAAAAAAAAAAAAAAAAAACCTAATAAAACAAAACAAATTCCTTGATATCGATGAAAGTCTTACTTTACTCTTAACTAGTCTCATTTTCACCTATATTTTGTATCCTCTTTGACTACAGGAAATATTTTCTTTTTCTCTAAACTCACCCAAATGATTGCTCATTCTCAGATAACTTGTGTCAATCACTGTCTGCCTCTATTCCAGGAGTTAGAAGCAGGTCGCAGAAACTGGGGAGGTAGCCAGCAGCCAGATAGTGATTTTTCAGCCTAAATTCCAGCCATTGCTTTGGGTATTTGTCATTCGCTTCTTTCCGGTAAAGGTGGATTGTCAGGCAGGGGTCAAAAACATTTATTTGGGGTTTAAGGTAATTTACAGATAAAGTTGTTAATACTTTCAGTGGGTGTTTACTGCTTGCACAAAACCAATTACTATCATATACGGGAACATATATGAGGCTCATTATTGCCAACAGTAATCATAGTAATGCTCTTGAGTTACAAAGTATGGATTTCCTAGGAAACAAGAACACTCTTGGGAATTCCAGACTCCTCATCTGTTGAAGAGCCCTGTATTATATGTATTTGAGTCGAGTTCCAAAATTAAGTGGGTTCTTGGGGGTATTGCCATCTGTTGTAAGGTGTGGATAGACTTCCAATTGCATCATTAATGACACTCCTTAATTCTGAGATAATTTTTCCCCATCAGAAAGCTTTGGATTATTGAAAAGGATTTCATTTTTATTGTCCTGGTACTCAAAATAGGGTTAGGAAAAAAGATGTTGAAATACAAAGCTAAGTTTTAACTTGTTTTGCCTCTCTGTACATGATAGATTTATTAGAGTCTTATTTGGGAGCCTGTTTTGGTTGCTTTTCTCAAAATCTTAATCACAGGCTTAATATAGCTTCTCAACCAGTTATCATAGTTTATAATTATTTGGCAGAATTCCCCTTTCTTCATCATTAAGAACAAGTTTACAACCTAGAGTTATATTTTTCCAGTGGACTCGTAATCTACATGGGTAAATAGTACAACTTCTTTCAATTAAAAATGTTTCCTAAATCTGGTGTTATTTGAAAAATACTTTTAAAAGACACCTCAACCTGCCCAAAATTGTGAACATATTTCTGGGGACTCTACATGGGACTTGATCTTTGAATCTCTGTATGTTCTCAGTAGATCCCAGCCAGCAACAAGTTTCCTGATCAAAAGGGCAAAGGGGAGGATGAGTCTAGTGCAAATTCTTGCCTATGGGAAGGTGGTTAAAATTGTTGAAAAACAGGCTTATCTGCTTTTCAGTATGGAGTTTTCACATGTCACACTGACCACACAGAAGTGAATCTTATCACATGTTATGTCTCACTTATCCTTAATTCGAAGGGGGCAGGATGCTTCTTAAACAGGAAACAAAATAAATGACTATTTCTTTTACCCTAGAAAAAGAAATAGCAACATTGCATAAAATGGCTGTTTTGTCTTGTTTACTGCTATATTCTTAATGCCTGGCACACAGCCCTGCACAGATTTAGTTGCTCATTATGTATGAGATGAAGAGCTAACTGAACTCATTAATGGAGATTCACTGAGATTTACATATAAATTTTGTGCCTAATAGAGGAAACAATCCCATTCATGTAAATATAAATCGTGTCTTTCTTTTTCTTATTCTCAGTATTTTCTATACAAGTTTCCCAAAGACGTGGACTCAGTTGTCATTAAAGTGGTGTCTGAAATGGCTTATCCATGTTCTGTTGTCTCAGTCCAGAATATCATGGTGAGTGCTGGTAACTTCCCAACCTTCTACTATAGAGCATTATATTATTCCAAAACAAATGAAAGAGAAGGGTGCGAAGCATGCCATCCTCTTACTGGGTATCTCCCTTCCAAAACTACTAAACAATACGAACAGTATCTATGAGTACGAGTGGGCAGACTGTGTTTGCAGACACTAATTTGGAGAGGTAAAGAATAGTTAAGTCTTCACCAAAATCAATAAAGCAAAGAAGGAAAGGAGGGAGGAAGCAGGGAAGGACTGTAACAAAGAACCAGGAAGACCAAGTTGTGGGCTCCACAAGAAAACTAAAATTGAACCCTACCATTTGTTCTGTTTTTAAATTTTTATTGTAACATTGGGTTCTTTCTGTCTCCTGAGATGTTAATGAAAATTGAAAAAAGTGTTATACACTTTAAGACAATAGTTTTATAGTTCTCTTCAATATAACGTGACTTTGACTTTAGAGGACGAGGCCCCAAGTCTTAGGAAGACTATGTCATGACTGTTCAAGGGGGGAAACTTTACCTGTTTCTGGTTAATAAGGATCCCCTGCTCTGTGATCCAAGCAGAAAGATGCTGACAGGACCTATGTGTGGCAGGACATTGCACGACATTATGTATGCTTTCCTTTTTATTCCTCATGCATGCTGCAGTGCCCGGTGTATGATCTTGACCACGATGTGGAATTTAATGGTGTCTATCAGTCCATGACTAAGAAAGCTGCCATCACACTACAGGTGAGACATTGTTTCTGTGGGCATTGTTGCCAATGATAATGCTCAATAGATAGTCAGTGTACTGACTGAGCCAGCATCCTAAAGGGATGGCCATCCATGATGTGCCTAGGATCTCCTTCCTTTCTGATTGGTTTAAAAACTAATATGTCTGGCCAGGCGCAGTGGCTCATGCCTGTAATCCCAGCACTTTGGCTGGCCGAGGCAGGAGGATCACCTGAGGTCAGGAGTTCAAGACCAGCTTGGCCAATATGGCAAAACCCAGTCTCTACTAAAAACACAAAAATTAGCTGGGTGTGGTGGTGCACCCCTGTAATCCCAGCTACTCAGGAGGCTGAGGCAGGAGAATCGCTTGAACCCAAGAGGCAGAGGTTGCAGTGAGCCGAGATCACACCACTCCACTCCAGCCTGGGCAACAAGAGCAAAACTCTGTCTCAAAAACCAACCAACCAAACAAACAAAACGATATATGTCTATGCCTGAAATTTAAAAAAAAAAAAAAAAAAGTCATTTTCTTACTGGGCTGAACATGACACCAGAAGTTTGGGGATGATTTTTTTTTTTAAAGACAGGGTTGTAGAACTATAATGGACCTTAAAGTTCATCTTGTCAACCACACTTCATTCATGGATGAGGAAATGGGCACATAGAGAAACACACTTAGAGTAACTCAAAGCCAAGATGATAACTGAGTCCTTTGCCTCCCTAACCTAAATTATTTATTCAACTGCTGAGTGTGTCAATTTTAGAAAAGTTATTTATCATTAGATTCTAAAATAAAAACTTAACATGTAAGCATTTGTTATTAAACATAGGCTACACACATATTATTTGTATGGTGCTTATTAAAGTTCTAAGCACTCAAATAGGCACAAAATTGATTGAAATCAGAAATGTATATCTATTTACCTTAATTTCTTGGATATAACAATTATCTCAGAGTGGATAATCTGGAGTTGATCACAGGTATGTGAAAGTCCTTTCCAAGGAGTTAGAGGGCAAGGGTGAACTTTATTTTTCTTCTCTTTCCTCTTTCTTTCTGCCCCCACCCCCAGGGACTTTCTCCCTTCTAGCTCTTTCTTACCGCCTATCATAAGGTTGTTATGTCTTATGCAGAAGAAGGATTTTCCAGGCGAGCAGTTCTTCGTGGTATTTGTGATAAAGCCTGAAGATTATGCCTGTGGAGGATCTTTCTTCATCCAGGGTAAGAGCTAGTGAGGAACACTTGGCTACTTAGAAAAACCTGAAGGAAGGGAGTGCAAGGGAAGCTGAAACCTCCCTCTAGTTCCCACTAAGCAAGGGTTGGTTCCATCAGTATGACTGGGAAAGGCATCTGAGAGATACTTGAGAAAAAAACAAAAGATAGAAAGTAACAGATCTAAAGGTATTATTGATACTACAAAATGTCATTTAGTACGTTTCATCTTTTTGAAGCATTGTATTCCCTCAGACCATGGAAGATAAGTTCACTCGGTTGGCCCTTTACTCAACAAATATTTGCTATCACGAAGTAATGATCTTACACAGCGATCAAAGTACATTTCCTAAGATGGGGTGGTAGCCGGTAGCCATGTAACTACTTACATTTATCAGTAGTCATCATTTCCACAATGATGGACAAGAAAAATTCAGCATTCTCCATCTCAGTTGCCAAAAATTTTACCTTGAAAAATAGTAGGAAAGCCAACTGCAACAACTTATCCCAATAATAAGGGGTATGGGAGCTCTTAGGCATAGTACAGATAGTTATGGTTAACTACCCAGTAGCTACCTTAAGGGCAGAATAGGCTGATGATTGAAAACGTAGACCACTAGCCAGTGATTAACCACATGTGACCAACACAAAGTGTGTTTACTGTTGATTGTAACATCATTTCCTTGGTATGAATGTTTAGGTGAAATTTCTCCTAGTATGTTCTTTAACCTCTTAATTACATGGCTCCAAAATTTTGCCAATGTCAAATATTCCTTGGTAAACTACAAGCCCTTTCATGACTATATAAGAGGGAAAAAATTGTACTGGCTAGAAACATACAAACCAAAGGAAGAGGTAGCTTCTGTTTTCACAGCTGTTTTCTTCACATGTCTGTGGATATCAGGGGAAGGGTCCACCCCTCTTCACTGGAGAAGGGAGGCTGCAATCTATCACTGCATCTGTTAGTGATACCAAAATGCACACAAGCAAAGGCCAAATTGAGAGTCTAATGCTAGCCTCCTTCACCAAAAGGGATTTCAGATGGTTTGAAGGTTTGGGAGTTAGATATTCCTCCAGTTCTTGCTAAAATAACATTCAGCAATCAGAGTTAATTCTGGACATTTTTTGAACAATTGTTCAGATAAGAGACCCAAAAAATCATTATCTGATTCATTGTGTTTTGTTCTTTTTTTATTTTTTTAAACCAGAAAAGGAAAACCAGACCTGGAATCTACAGCGAAAGAAGAACCTCGAAGTGACCATTGTTCCTTCCGTTAAAGGTCAGTGTTGGCTCCAGAATGCATCGGAGAGATTCCTGTGTCGGAAAATCAGTCATATCATTTGATATTACTGTCATCCTTCCAGAGAGAATTGTCATAAGAAAAGTAAAGTTTATTTACCTTAGAAATAGAAAAGGGAATCAGAGCATTTTGTCACATCCCTCCTAAAAACAAAGGGACCTCAATCATGAAGTTGTAGACAGGCAGTCCCTTCCCAGCTTCTACTGGGAAGTCATCACTGTGAACGGTAGCTACTGTGGATGATGTCTGGGGACCTCCAGTAGCAGTTTTGCTATGAATAAAAATTTCTTAGGACTTAAGAATCAATATGATGGAGGGCGGCCCTTTAAGCTGTCCTGTCTCAGACAGAGTCTTCTTTTCTACAGAGGATGACCTGACTAAAGTTGTTTCTCTCCCTTCAGAATCTGTTTATGTGAAATCCAGTCTTTTCAGTGTCTTCATCTTCCTGTCCTTCTACTTGGGATGCCTGCTTGTTGTGTTTGTTCATTATCTGAGGTAGGTCAATCACTTCCAGAAATGTTAATCCCCTGTGCCTGTCTCTGTGTAACTCTTGGAGCGCAGACTTGACAGCCATATTGACTGGCTTCAAATCTCCCTCAGCCACTAGCGGTGTGACCTTGGATACCTCGTGACCTTGGAGACGTTGCTCAACTCCCTGTGCTTCAGTTTCCTCATCCGTAAAATGAGATAATAATTTACCCCACAAAATGTACAACTGCAGTGTTTATATCAATAACACACACATAATAGGTGCTGGTAGAGTGTCAGTTATTTTCCTAGTTAATTAAAACTCAACAAAAAGGCAACATGTATATTTTTTAGACCAGAAAATACTCACTGTAGATGGTCAGTTTTTCCTAACATGTAGATTTAGAAACAGCTTTAAACATTCTATCAAAAAGTAAATGTAATGCCTAAAATAAATTTTGAGGTGCAACAAAAAGCAGGAGTAATGTTCTTTGATACAACATTACCAAGTGTTTTCCTGCTATTGTAGCATCGATTTTCCAGTAAAATGTCCCTTGGGGGGAAAAAGGAGGTAATTGTGCTGTAATTTGACCAAGGAAATTTCCCTTGCCAAGAGTTTGGAGCCCCTAATGACACAGGGCTTTCCTTCCCTCTCTCAGCGGGGTTGAACCTTGAGAATTCCGTTCTTTGTGGCCCTCTCTGTGAAACAGCTACAAAAGAATGGCAGGAGATTTACAATAAACAAATGTTCTTTCTCTTCTTGAACAAGTAAAGAAAACAAAGCCAGCATGGAGTTTTGAGACTATTTGCAAAATGAACTGCATCCATGGAAAGATTTCATGGCTACCTCAGTGATACAACTCCGTATCTTAAGAATATGGGTCTATCTCTGACTCAAAAAAAACTGCCTCGATGACCTGTATGAAACTTTTGAGTTCAGATATTGCCTTCAAACACAGTAGATGACTGCTGGCCAAATCTGGGACAATTTGAACACCAAAATTATTAGGAATAATGCATTATAGACCATTGGAAAAAATAAAAATGTCTGAGTCCCTGTTGATAAAGGAAGGAAGGGCCTAAACACCTGTGGATACACATTCAGCGATTCAACAAATTTACGAAAACAGCTACCCATTTGGTAAAGGAGCCATTAGCAGATACTGGTAGTAGAAGGGAGAAAGAACTCTTGACTACAGCAAAATGACAAAAGCTGGCTGGTAAATATGGAGGAGTGCCGGAGTTGGAAAATCATCATTTTGCAAATATCATGTTAAAGACTAGATTTGCTTAAGAATCATTGATGAATGTCAAATCTAACATGCAGAAATCTGATGAGGATGAAGATGTGTGCATGGCCTTAAAGTGTATCCTCACAAATTGCTTAGTAGTTAAAGTGGAAAAAATAGTAGATATACAGTAAGAAGTCAAGCATATTGACAGGGTGATCAAAATTAATATCACCAAGGAGAAGATGGACATTCTGTGCCTCCAGAAGTGACACCCTGAGAAGGACACAATGTCACTTTTGCACCATTCCAGAAATGCATATTTGGAATCTAATCATGTGGAAAAATCAGACAACCTCCAACAATAAACATTCCATTAAAATGTGTCATAAAAGACAAAGAAAATTTATAAAAGTATTCCAGATTGAAGGAGACTAAAGATATGTTACAACTAAAGACAATACCTGATCTCAATGAGGATCTTACATTATACTAGCAGAAAAATATACAATAAAAGATATTATTGAGTCAATTGACAAAACTGGAATACAGATAGTAGATTAGATAAGAATATCACATCAATGTTAAATTTGTGAATTTGATAACTGTATTGTGGTTATGTAAGAGAATATTTTTTTGAAATATTTAGGAATAAAAGTTCAGGTCTTGGTTGTATGCAAGTTACTTTCAAATGGTCCAGGAAAAAAAGTGTGTATATATGTGTGTGTGTATCTTGGTACGTATATATCATATATATTACATCTTTATGGAGAGAGTGAGAATGATCAAAGCAAATGAGGTAATAAGCTAACAATTGGTTGAATCTATTTAAAGGGTATATTGGTATTCTGTGTTCTTATTCTTGCAACTTCTCTATAAATCTGAAATTATTTTCAAATAAAAGTTAAAAACAAAACCCCCAGGCTACAGGTGAATATTATACCTGGAAAGTATACAGTAGCTGATTAGCAACTCACTTAATTTATCAAATCAGAGTTACTAATATTTAGCAGGTACTTGCTGTGAGCCAAGCATTGTGCTCTAATTAGCTTCTTCTTGATGTTTGCTTACAAACTCCTTTTAGTGTCACACTCTTCCATTCACTGAAAGAAAGCAGCGTATGATACATTTGAAAGAAAGCATGGTTCCATTTGCCTTTCATGGCAAGTGCTCTAAATAAATTATCTCATCTGATGCCCCCCAACAGTGGGTACTATTATTATCACCAAGTGACAGTTAAGGAAATTGAGGCACAGAGGGATTAAGCAATTGTAACAAGAATTCATAGCCAGTAAATGAAGGAGCTAGGATTTGAACTCAAGCAGTCTGGATCCAGAGCCTTAGGCCTGAAGCAGGCTGATCAAAGTGGGTCTAGAGTGGTCAAGCCCTATGAGAGATGACAGTGCTGACCAAGAATGCCACACCAAAAGCCTGGCACCCCAGCAAGGATCTAAGTTGAAAAGGGTCCAAAACGCTTCCAATTTTGCCTTGGATGAGTTCCAATATCATGGAAAGAAGTTCCTCTGTTATGCCTCTCATAGGAAGACTGTCTCTACTCCTGACGTTTTAGATTTTAGAAAACTGGAGTGTTCCTTTTTAGTTAGCTAGTATGCATAGTTAACATACAAACAGACAAGTTAAGCTAATAGCTGGTTATCAATCACTCTGAAGTTGTTATTTAGCCAACTAAGGCAAGCAGTTTTTCTAAGCTGTGGTATAAGGCTCTATGGAAACTTCTAGTCACAGATTATTTTGCTACAGTCAAATGCACAGCTTAGATTTCTCCAAATATAGACAAAGTGGAAATAGAAATGCGAAATGTAAGAACTATTTGGCATTCTAAATAGAAGAATAGACTGAGGGAAAAAAATGCTCTAATTGGAGAACTTTTCCTTCATTAACTAAGCAAAATAACAAAGTTTTCTGTAAAACCATATGAAGCTAGTCATCTCAGGATAATGCCAGTTACTTGATGAGTCCCTTAAACCCTATTACGAGTACCTATGGGGTTTGTAGTACATGCTATGAGATCAGGATAAAAAACATTGATCAGAGACATGGCCCCTGCCATCAGGGAGGTAAGAATCCAAAGCATCTTCATACTGTATTAGCCTGAAACTAAACACTATTCCCTTCCCACCCTCCAGCCTCAGTCCATTCAACATGTGTTTATGAAGCCCCCCATGATGAATGTGCAGGTCCTGGACCAAGCACTGCATACTTGTTCTCTTACTTGTTCTTCACAATCACATTGCCAGACATTGAATCCAAACTGCCCAATCCAGAATACTCATCCTTCCCTTTGATTCTTGTATTCGTTATCTATTACCACAATAATGCTACAATTTATTTTTTTATTTTATTTTATTTTATTTTATTTTTTTGAGATGGAGTCTCTCTCTCTCGCCCAGGCTGGAGTGCAGTGGGGTGATCTCGGCTCACTGCAAGCTCCACCTCCTGGGTTCACGCCATTCTCCTGCCTCAGCCTCCCAAGAATGCTACATTTAAAAAAAAAAAAAAAATCTGTGGCACACAGCAAAACATGTTAAAGCTTGTTCACAAATCTATGGGTCAGCTGGATGGTTCTGCTAATCTGGGCTGGGCTGAGAGATCCCAGGAGGGTGTGATCAGAGAGTGTGGTCCACTGGCAGCTCAACTAGGAGCTAGCTCTTCTGGGCTGGCCTCAGCTGCACTTGTCTGTCATCCTGAAGCAGGCTAGCTGGGGCTTATTTGTTTCCAAGAGAGACAGCAGAAGAGTGCAAGCCCTCCTGAAGATGCAGGTTCAGAATTAACACAATGTTACTTCCCCCTCATTCAATTGGCCAAAATAAGTCATGAGGGTAGTCTAGATTCAAGAAACGAAGATGTAGACTCTACCTTTTGGTTGAAGGAGCTGGATACAAGGTGAGGTGCAGCCATTTTGCAATCAATCTAGCACAGCCTTCATTTGCTATTTTTTCCTTTATTCACTAGATACCACCTGCCTTATCCTAGCTTTGTAAATCATTTAACTCCTCTAATGAAAAATTTTGTCAGTTCCAAAATCTAGTGCAATCATGGGTAAAGCCTGTTAATACAAACACATGATCAAAACATCATTTTCTATAAGTACATACAATTGCTTTCCAGTCAGTTGTTAACTAAAATTGTTAAAAAGGAACTTCACTACAGCCTTATTTGCCAGTTATGAGAGTCAAGCCAAATCACAACTTCCCTCCTTTTTTTTTTTTTTTTTTTTGCTGTAGTCTTTCACCCTGTCACCCAGGTTGGAGTGCAGTGGCACGATCTCAGTTCACTGCAACCTCCACCTCCTGGGTTCAAGCAATTCTCCTTTCGCAGTATCCTGAGTAGCTGGGACTACAGGCGCGTGCCACCACGCCTGGCTAATTTTTCTGTTTTTAGTAGAGACAGAGTTTCACCATATTGGTCAGGCTGCTCTTGAATTCTTTACCTCAGGTGATCCACCCACCTTGGCCTCCCACAGTGCTGGGATTACAAGCGTGAGCCACTGCACCTGACCAACTTTTCTCCTTAAAGATATGCGTCATTCATTCAACAAATATTTAGTGATCATCTATGTGCCAGCTGTACCCTAGAAGTTGGAGATATATTATAGTGAATGAAACAGTATATATCTCTGCTGTGATAGAGCTTACATTTTAAAGGGAAGAAATATACAAGCAAGTAAGCAACTAATAAAGAAAATCATTCCAGGTACTGACGGAAAAAACACATTGGTATGATAAAGAACGATTGGATTGGAGAAGCTACTTTCGAGTAGATTTGGTTGGCAGGGAAGGTCTCTCATAACCAAGACCTGAATGGCAAGAAGGAGCCAGCCATGAAAGGATCTGGAGAGAGAGTGACTCAGGTTGAGAACAAAAGCCAAGGCCCCCTGCCATTCAGGAATTTGGTATGTCTAGGCACAAAAGAGCTATGAAGAGAAGTTCTGCAACCAAACATACTAAAATCAGGATATGCAACTTCTAGAGTTCCCATCTGGAAGTAATAAGAGAATGTACCAAAACACGGGCACTTCTGGTCCCCAACTTTCCTCTCACACCCTCCAACTTCATTTGGAGATAATAATTCACATTTTAATTCTTGATGGACATTCCCAAATGGTATAGTTTGTTTGTTAATAATGACTTTATTGAGATATAATTCATAGACCGTAAAATTCACCCTTCTAAAGTACACAATTTTGTGATTTTTAGTATATTCATAGTTGCATAACCATCCCATGATCTAATTCAGAATGTTTTCATCATTCCAAAAAGAAACTCCGAGTTTAACAAGATTGCATGAGATCAATATACAAAAAATCATTTGTATTTCTCTACATTAGCAATGAGCAATCCAAAAATAAAATTAAGAAAACAATTCCATTTATAAAAGCACACAAAATAATAAAAGATTTTGGAGTAAATTTAACAAATTCAGTGTAAGACTTGTACATTGAAAACTGCAAAACATCATTGAAATAAATTAAAGGAGATTTAAACAAATGAAAAGACATCCCATGTGCATAGACTGGAAGATTTAATATTGCTAAGATAATGCAGCAGATAGAATAATGGTCCCCAGAAGGTGTCTATGTCTAATCTCTAGAACCTGTGAATATGTTACCTTACATGGCAAAAAGAACTGGTAGATGTGACAAAGTTATGTAGATTATCTTGGATTATCTATGTGGACCTAAGGTAATCACAAGAATTCTTATGAAGGAGACAAAAAGGTCAAAGGCAGAAGAAGGAAATGCGACAAAGGAAGCAGAGGTTGGAAGGGGCCACGAGTCAAGAAATGCAGGCTGCCTCTAGAAGCTTGAAAGACAAGAAAATGAATACTCCCCTGTAGCCTCCAGAAGTACAGGCCTGCTGACACCTTTATTTTAGCCATACAAGGCACATTTTGATATTCTGACTCCCAGAACTGTAAGATAATAAACTTGTATTGTTTTAAACCACTAAGTCTGTGAGTTCGTTACAGCAGCAGTAGGAAACTAATATACTTGACAATACTCCTCAAATTAAACTACAAATTCAACACAATCCCTTGCAAAGTCCCAGCTGGCATTTTCACAGAAATTGACAAACTGATCCTAAAATTCATATGAAAATGAAAGGGACCCAGAAGCCAAAACAATCCTGAAAAAAAAAGAAGAAAGTTGAAGGATTTGCACTTTCTGATATCAAACTTATTACAAAGTTGCAGTCATCAGGATTCTGGTACTGACATAAAGAAAGACATATGGAAGTCTGAGGCAGGAGAATGGGGTGAACCCAGGAGGCAGAGCTTGCAGTGAACCAAGATCACACCACTGCACTCCAGCCTGGGCGACAGAGCAAGACTCTGGAGATGAAAGACTGTTTTTGCTATACAGCCACTGTCGATAACAATTTGGAAAAAAAGTTAAACACAGAATTATCTCATGCTCAACAATTCCACTCCTAGCTATATACCCAGGATAACTGAAAACATATGTCCACACAAAAACTTGTACACAAATGTTCATAACAGTGTTACTCATGACAGCCAAAATATGAAAACAACCAAAATATCCATTAAGTGCAAACATGTCAATGAAAGGTGGTATACCCATACAATGGAATATTATTCAGCCATAAAAAGACTGAAGTACTGATACATACTACAGCATGGATGAACCTTGAAAACATTATACTAACTGAAAGAAACTAGACACAAAAGTTTGCATATAAAATGATTCATTTTTAATGAAATGTCCAAAATAGGCAAACTTATAGAGACAGAAAGTAGATTAGTGTTTTCCAGGGGATGGGGAGTGACTGGTCATGGGTTTGAAATTTCTTCTGGGGATGATGAAAATATTCTAGAATTCAATATTGGTGGGAGCTATACAACTTTGTGAATGTATTTGACTGGTGTGAAAGTAATTGCCTTTTTGCCATTATTTTTGAAAGCAAAATCACAATTACTTTTGCACCAATCTAATATTAAAACTCACTAAATTATGCACTTTAAAGGGTGAATTTTATGGTATGTGAATTACATCTGAAAACTGATGAATGAATAAACGATGTAAATGACTGAGAATGAAAGTGCTGGGATATATGGTAACTGTGTTTAACTTTTTGGGAAACAGACAAACTTTTCCAAAGTGACTGCACCATTTTACATTCCCACCAGCAATGTATCAGAGTTCCAATTTCTCCATATCTAAACACATGTGTTTTTTTGTTGTTGTTTGTTTAGTTTTTCTTTTTTTTTTTTCTTTTCTTTTCTTTTTTTTTTTTTTTTTTTTTTTTGAGACAGAATCTCACTCTGTCGCCCAGGCTGCAGTGCAGTGGCATGATCTCAGCTCACTGCAACCTCTGCCTCCTGGGTTCAGGCAATTCTCCTGCCTCAGCCTCCCAAGTAGCTGAGACTACAGGCGCCCGCCATCACACCCAGCTAATTTTTGTATTTTCAGTAGAGACAGGGTTTCACTATATTGGCCAGGCTGGTCTCGAACTCTTGACTTTGTGATCCGCCAGCCTTGTCCTCCCAAAGTGCTGGGATTACAGACGTGTGCCATCGCGCCTGGCCCCAAAGACATGTTTTGAAGAGACCCTAGTAGACAAATCTGCAACAAAATCTATAAGGAACCAATGTAAAATCCTGAGGTTTTCGCTGTCTTAGGAGCATGTGTATGTGTTTGTTTGCAGGTTTCACAGAAAATCCACTGATGGAAGCTTTGGGTCCAGTGATGGTAAGAGCAATGCTTGGTTTCAATTCAAAATGGTGTCGCATAGTGTGGCAATATCCCATTTCATCCTTCTTTTACCTCTCTGCCTTTTGCAATTTACAAACCCTCCCTTCATTCCTATCCCACAGAGTAATCTAGCCTGCAGTTGGAAAGCAGAGCTAGTGAAAACCAATTCTATAGTTCAAGGGGTCCCAAACCCTAGGCCGTGGACTGGTACTGGTCTGTGGCCTGTTAGGAGCTGGGCTGCATAGAAGGAGGTGAGTGGCAGGCGAGCGAGCATTACCACCCGAGCTCTGCCTCCTGTCAGATAAGTGACAGCATTCGATTCTCATAGGAGAGCAAACCCTGTTGTGAACCGTGCATGCGAGGGATCTGAGTTGCATGCTCCTTACGAGAATCTAAAGCCATAACCCATTCCCACCCCTGTCTGTGGAAAAATTGTCTTTCATGAAACCAGTCCCTAAATGTTGGAGCCAAAAATGTTGGAGACTGTTGCTGTAGTTGATAATTATTGAGACGTGGAGGTCACACTAAAAACCTTTACTAGGAGTGTCCCTTGTAATCACAGACCTTTGGTCAGCCATTCATCTTTTTTAAAAGTTTCACCTTTTCGAGGACATCATTGTTCCTACCTAATTCATACATAATTGTTCATATCCCAAAGCTGATTTGTGAACAACAGTAAGAATGTATTGTGCCAACTCTAATACAGAGTTTACTTTTCCCAAACTGAAACGGAGGCTTTTTTAAGTGTCTAGAAAACTGAAATCCTTGACACTAGCAAGTATAATAAAGAGTATAATAACTTGGGGGAATCCAGAGTAATTGACTCTCCAGTGATCGTACTACACCTTTTCCTCCACTCTGAGAGTTTGAACAAAGGAATTCAATGACCTGATCTTTTTAACAAACTTGAAAATTTAAATGTCCTCATTTTTGAAAAACCTAAACTCAGTGTTCATAAGTTATTAGGCACAGAGCAAGAATTTGGTTAAAAAGGAATATGAAGTGGAACTTGGTTTTTAAGTCATACATAGCAGATATTTAGTGTTTTCCACACTTAAATGAGGTCACAGAATCTTAGAAAGAGTCAAACTCACCCGCTACACCCCTCCAGCAGGATGATTGCTCCCTTTGCTGGAGAGTTTGCTCTTTTTTTTTTTTTTAATGTTTGTCTTCCTTAATGTCAGCATGTCTGTTTTTCCAGCCACCCAAGCACTTTGTTTTATAAACATTCAGCTGTCAGTGTAAAAAACTGTAAAAGAACACCTGCTCTCACGGCTTTAAAATTCTAAATGCTCCTCTCCCTTTTAGTCATCAAATATTTAAATGAATTTGTCTGCTCTCTGGATCTCATCTTTTTTCCTACAGTGTCTCCAGGCTTTGTGATTAGTTTAGGCCTAGTTGAACTTAGGCTTACATCCAATCGATTGAATCCCATTGGGTAGCCTCTGAATGGATAATCTGTTATTTTTTATTGTATGAGTAAAGTCATTTTATTACAATAATATGTATTAAAGGAATTCTGTATTCAGAAGGGTCTGCTGAACATTGAAGCATAAGTGGACAAAGCTGGGACTTGAGCCAGATCATTGTCCAGGTTCAGGGAGGCTCTGAAAATTATCTAAGAGCTGGAGGTACCCTTCTGACGGTAAGCGGAAACACATGAGTGAGCAGAAAGAGTAAAGATGCATCGTTAAGATTCATGTGGGTGTAAGTAACAACAGTAACAAGAAAAAAAAATACCTCAAACATGCTTAATCAAGAAAGAGACTCCTAGCTCTGGAAGTTGAGCCAAAATATGTACTTCAGGATTGATGAGTCCAGTGGCTCTGGTCCATTTCCCTGCCATTCCCTTGGCTTCAATTTACTCCCAGGGCTGGCAGTGAGATGGGTCAAGGCTCACACCTTCACCTGACAACACCAGAGGGAAGGACCTTTTCAGAAGCCCTCAGCAACTTCTTGTGTTTTATTGGCCTAGAGTGAATCATACACTTATTGTTAAACCAGTCACTGCAAAGAACAGATTTACCTACACATCAGACAAACCTACTTTTAGAATTAAGGTTAGGTCCTCTTCTTTAAGACCAGAGTTTCTCAAACTCAATATTATTGACATTATGGGCCAGATAATTATTTGTTGTTGGGGGCTATTCCGTATCTTATAGGATGTTTAATAGCATCCTTCACCTCCACGCACTAGATTCTAGGAGTTGCCCTTCCTTGGGACAACTAAAAATGCCTCCAGGCTTGGCACAGTGGCTCATACCTGTAATCCCAGCATTTGGGGAGGCCGAGGTGGGAGGATTGTTTGCGCTTAGGAGTTCGAGACCAGCCTGGGCAACATAGTGAGACTTTGTCTCTATAAAAACAAATAAACAAAATTAGGTGGGCGCGGTGGTGCGCACCTGTGCTCCAGCTACTTCGGAGGCTGACGTGAGAGGATCGCTTGAGCCCAGGATGCTGGGGCTGCAGGGAGCTGAAATCACATCACTGCACTCCAACTTAGGTGACAGAGCAAGACCATGTCTCGGGAGAAAAATGCCTCCAGACATTGCCAAATGTCTTTTTGGGGGCAAAACTGTTTCCCCACCTCCCCCTGTTTGAGAACCATGGACCTAAACACATGAAGACACCTAAATAAGATGCCAGCTAAGGGCTTTGAAATAGGAAGAAAATAAGGAACCTTTGTAATGTAGAGAGGCCACAGGGAATGATGGCATCGCCCCCAATGTCATGACCACTGGTGAGTCAGGACCTAGACGCTTAAACCAAGAGCAGAAGACAAGCTCTGCCCAAGGGAAGAACCAGTGACTTTTTTAGGCATCCCAAACAGAGCATCGAGAAACCAGCCAGGAGCAAGAGACAGAGGCAAGTAAGGACCATATGTGGAAGCTAATGAGAGACATTCAGGGAAAAAACAAGGATACAGAAATGTCTTTCTCTCCCAAGGCCAGGATCAGCGTGACCATGGGGCACAGGAAGTTCAATAGAGCTCAGAGTTACAGGAAATGCCTTGGGTGCTTATGTCCAGAGAAAATGCTAGAAGCAGCTTCTGAAAGGGGAAGAGGATCCCACTAGACTTAATATGGTGTCTCCCCACATCATTGTGGAGCTAGATATCTATGGAACTTAGCCTAATGCTTTCACCTTAGACGTAACTGAAGTGGAAGAAATGGAATCAGGTCCCTACAGGTTGCCAAATTGGTGGCAGCTCTTTTGGAGTTAGGAAGGACGCACTCAGAAAATCTGTGGGCTACTCTGCATTTGTTTTTCTTTGATATGCCTGCAGTCATTTAATTAAGCTGTATGTAAAAATCTCGATGTTGGCTCTAACTACACTAAAAAGCAAAAGAATGTATTTCATACTTCGTGTGATGAAGAAGATTAGACCCTGGAGCCTGGGTGAGATGGAAATAGTGTTGGCAAAGAGCTGCTCCAGGGGACTTGCAGGGACTTTTTTACTGTACTATGAATGACTGGACCCTGCATTGTCTAATCATCACCTAATACCAAAGACAGGGCATCTGTGAGAATCTTAGAGAATCTAAGAAAGGCTCTGTGCTACAAAAACATTTCTTCCACTGGCTTTATCAGAAAGAAACCTCACATTTCACATAATTGTTAAAGAGCCTCTACAGAAATTCAGTTACCAGCTGAGAAAAATAATGAAGCCTCCCCAACAGGCCTCCGGGACCCCTTGAGCTGCCACCAGGAACTGGGGGTACAACAGAAGAGGAGGTTACTTTCTCAAATGCAAGAGCTTGACAAGCCTAATCGGTTGTAGATTTAAGAACCAAATGGCCAACCCGGTCCTTCCCTGGATAGAGCCATTACTGAATCAGCCTCTTAGCCAAGAGCAAGATCTGATGGAGATAAGACAAGGAGAGTGTTGAACGTGGAGGACTCAAGGAACACAGGCTGTTTAGTGGCCAGGGGTCTCAAATTCTATTCCTACATCTCTACTCTTCTTTTTCCAGTTTTCTTGTTCAACTTTTTCTTCTAGAGGAATTTTACTTTTACATCCATCTGCAAAGATGATGGTTTTCTTCATTTTTTTCTTCAACTATTGAAACAAAACGTGACACTAAGTTGGGATAAGTAGGAAACTGGCATAAAAATAAAATTTGGGCCAGGCATGGTGGCTCACACCTGTAATCCCAACACTTTGGGAGGCTGAGGCCGGGGGATTGCCTATAGTCAGGAGATTGAGACCATCCTGGCCAACATGGTGAAACCCCGTCTCTACTAAAATACAAAATATTAGCCCCACGTGGTGGCGTGTGCCTGTAGTCCCAGCTACTCAGGAGGCTGAGGCAGGGGAATCGCCTGAACCCGGGAAGCAGAGGTTGCAGTGAGCTGAGATTGTGCCACTGCACTCCAGCCTGGTGACAGAGTGAGACTCCATCTCAAAAAAAAAAAAATAAAATAAAAATAAAAAATAATCATGCCCGCTAGTTCCCATCATTTCTGACTCCGTCTTCAGCTTCCAACCTGCTGAGTCTTCAGAGACAGAATGGGACAAGGCAACTAAAAATATGAAGTCCCTGAAAGACGCAAACATGCTCAAAATGAAATGAAAATTTTCTCCTCACATAGGGCATTTAACATAAAAAGCAAGCCTGCAAGCATATCCTGTTCTATGTCAGTGAAGTAGACAGATGCAGGGGGCTCAAGCTCAGAGAGACACATATCAAAACAAGTTTCCTCATTCGGATGAGATCATTCACAATCGTATGTATCTGCTATTTCCAGCCAGAACATCTCAGTCTGTCCTATAAATTGATATTTTATGTTGAATTCTGCTTTCTATGTACTATACAGTTAAATATGGATATGGTTTGCCTTCCCAGACCATACTTGACGTTTAGAAGGAAATGCCTTGGTTTTTGCATTCTTAAAAGGCTTTAGACATAAGCAAAATGAAAATAATACTGTTATCCCATGTTGGCCAATCTCATATTTAAATGGTGCATATGAAAGTCCACAGAGTGAAAACACTTTTGCATGCTGGCAATGGCATTGCACATGAAAATCTTGGTGCTCCTGTCCGTCACAGAACCCATGACGCTGCAGCTGCCTCAAAATGAACAGAGCCAGCAACATCAAAACCAGATCGTGCTCAGTGATGAGCCAGAGCAGAAAACAGAAACCAGTGATTCATTAAAGTCTGAACAGACCTACACAGCTGGCTTTGTCTTTTTAGTGAATTTGTCACCTAACAAAACAGTGATTGTTTTTGTTTGTTCACTTGCTTTGATTTTAGTTTTTGGTTTTTGTTTTTCTTTTGATTACACACACACAGAGAACATTGGCTCCCACGAACCATTTCGACCTCCTGCTACAACTGAACTCCAGCATTTTCCTACACACACTTCTACTTCCCATATCAGAGGACTTCCAGTGACACCAAAATGCACTATGTGCACGTAATATCAAAACATCATGTTGTACATCCTAATATATACAATTAAAAAATCTTTTTGTATAAAAACAAGTTTTCACTGAGACCAATACAATGAATTACTATCCATCCCCTATCTGAGTGACTGGGCAAATTACTTCATCTTTCAGCATCTCCCTTTTATCATCTTTAAAACATATGGTAATATTATATGATAAAATATATGGTAAAATATATGATAATATTCTCAGCATTTTGTGATTTTAGTGTCATTCTTCATTTACTATTTGCACATTTCATAATTTTCAAAATTACATTTTAAAGAAGGGACATAAGTTAGTGACTTAAAATAAGGAGCTTGGACCAGGCATGGTGACTCACACCTGTAATCCCAGCACTTTGGGAGGCCAAGGCTGGAGGATTGCTTGAGTCAAGGAGTTGGAGGCCAGCCTGATCAACCTAGGGAGATTCTGTCTCTACACTTGAGTCAAGGAGTTGGAGGTCAGCCTGGTCAACCTAGGGAGATTCTGTCTCTACAAATAATTTTTGAAAAATTAGCCAAGTGTGGTGGCATGACCCCGTGGTCCCAGCTACTCAAGAGGCTGAGGCAGGAGGATCGCCTGAGCCTGGTGGTTGAGGCTACAGTGTGCCGTGATCGTGCCACTGCACTCCAGTCTGGGCAACAGCATGAGACCCAGTCTCAAGAAATAAATAAATAAAATAAAATAAGGAGCTTGAAAAGAGAAAAATGTGAAAGATACTGAGGGGGATGTAAAAGACCTACAACATCATCTAGGAATAAGAGCAACCTAGGGGTTCCATGAGACTCCCTGCAATGAACTAAACAGAAAGAAGATGCAGCATGACCCACACCAATGGGTAATCACTGGCAGGCAGCAGCTTCCAATCTAAAAAGCAAAAGCTGTGCTTTTTTAAAATGTGACTTTATTACAGTGGAGATGCAAATGAGCCTCAATCTCTTTGCTCTTCAAAAGGTATTCTTGAGCACTATATGAAAGTAACATATTTACTATCAATTGTTCTTATTTGAAGGAAAATTCCTGTGTTTTCAGTTAAAAAGATACGTTTTGTCTAATATATACACAACAGAAGGTTATTCAACCTTTAAGCAGGATATGCTGCCATTTGCAACAGCATGCCTTCCATAGATAAACATGAAGGATGTTATGCTAAGTGGAATACACCAGACACAGAAAGAAAAGTACTGCAGGGTCTCTCCTATATGTGGAATATTTTAAAAAGTAAAATACATAGAAATAGAGATTAGAACAGTGGGTATCAGGGACAGGGAGCAGGAGGAAATTAGGAGCTATAAGTCAAAAGGTACAAACCTGCAGGTAGGTAGGATGAATAAGTCTAACATACAGTAGGAAGACTATATATAGTTAATAATATTGCATTCTATATTGAAAATTTGTGAAGAGAGTAGATTTTAGGTGCTCTTATAACAACAAAAAAGAGGGAACTATGGAAAGTGATGGATATATTAATTTCCTTAGCTATAGCAATCATTTCACTATGTGCACGTAATATCAAAACATCATGTTGTGCATCTTAATATATACAATTAAAAATCATTTTTTAGGCCAAGCATGGTGGCTCATGCCTGTAATCCCAGCACTTTGGGAGGCCAAGGCAAGCCGATCACTTGAGGTGAGGAGTTCAAGACCAGCCTGGCCAACATGGTGAAACCCCGTCTCCACTAAAAATACAAAAATTAGCCAGGTGTGGTGATGTGCACCTGTAGTCCCAGCTACTCAGGAGACTGAGGCAGGAGAATCGCTTGAACCTGGGAGGCAGAAGTTGCAGTGAGCCAAGATCACACCACTGTACTCCAGCCTGGGCAACAAAGTGAGACCCTGTCCCAAGAAATCATAATAATTTTTTTATAAAAAGAAAATAAGGTTTCAGTGAGATCAATACAATGAAACACTATCCGTCCACTCTCTGAGTGACTGGGCAATTTACATGATCTCTCACAATCTCCCTTTTATCATCTTTAAAATGTTGAGAATATTATTATCAACCTCTTAGGGTTGTTGAAAATTTAGAAGAGTAAATTCCTGGAAAGAATTTAAAAGACTGTCCTACACAGTAAGTCTGCAATAAACATCAGTCAGTAGTAATAGAGGTAGTACTGGTAGCAGCAGCAGTAGCAGCTGCAGCAGCAAAGCTCTATACTGTAACTATGGCCAAATCTGTTCTAAGTCCAAAAGAGTCAGGCGGATTGCACACAACATCTTCACATGGCACTGTTACTGTGCTCAAAAGATTTGATCTTAAGACTTAAGAGTCTGAAGGCAACCTGTTTCTTTGACTTGAAGTTGGATGAAAAACATAGATTGTATTGATGACATGTTACATACTTATGGGTTAGCCCAAGAAAGGCCAGGTAACACCTAGTTTCTCTAAATAAGAAGAAATTTATAAGGGGATCGCCAAGCCTAGTAACAGTGCCAGAAAGCATGCATTCTGAGGGCCAAAGTCTGCATTTTGAAGGCCAAGATCTGTGTGCTAAGGGCCCTGGGAACCGCTGAGGCTGCCAAAATTGCTGCATTAGCCAAAAGCTTTGCTGTCCAGCTGAGCCAACTCTTGGCTAAACCACCAAAGAAGAAAAGAAATTGGGTCTCCAAGGCCATTGCATTGGTCCTTATAATTAAAGTGTAAACTCAAAACCTTTAGCCAGGTTTTGGACTTACACTTTAATTATTTTTCTTTATGGGGGAAATTAATGGACACATAAAAAAATTTAAAACATGATAAAAACCTACAAAGTTGGCTTACAAAACTGAATATTTTTATTGCCCACCAATGGAAATGATGGCTGTATTTCAGTAGAACTTACACATAAATACTGAAATTTGAATTTCATATAATTTTTACCTGTCATGAAACATTATTCTTCTTTGGATTTTTTCCCCAATCACTTAAAGGTTTAAAAACCAGTCTTAGTTGAAGAGCCATACGGAAACAGGCGGCAGGCTAGATTTGGCAGATGGGTCATAGTTTTGGTGACTCCTGTATTAGTGTAAAAAGAAAATCAAACTTAAAATAATGTGGCTTGATGATTCAAGCTACTTAGAATAGTGTTGTTTTGTTTCAGCAACTGGACGTAAAGTGTTTGCCTCTTCACTTTTTTTAACAGGCTCTGGAAATATGGTGGCATCTCATCCCATTGCTGCCAGCACACCCGAAGGGAGCAATTATGGAACAATAGGTATGTCCTGCCAGGTCTGTTCATGAAAGTGTTTCCTAGTTCTCCAGAGAATATGGTAGAAAGGCATTCCAGCCACTAATAACTGGGAATGTGGGCAAAGCAGTTATCCTATGAGATTGTCTTTTATTTGTAAGATGAGTTGGTTGGAGGTTTGGAAGCTTCCTCCCAGCTCTAACTTTCTCCAGTTCTGTTGTTCTGTTTCTTGGATCTGCTAGCCCCACTTGGGCAGAATTCCTTCAATGTTTGCCATCTAATACTAAGGCCCTCTAGGGACTTTTTCATATCCAGCCTGGGTTTAGGGCATGAAAGATGTGGCCCAGGGAGCCTGACATCAATTGACCAGTTGTTTCATTCTCAGGTTTCAGTGGAGTAAGGGGCGATCAGAAGACTGAGGCAGTGCTGCAGGTGAACATGGCTGTAGCCTACCAACCCTTCATTTTGGCTAACTTCATAATTGAACCTGCTGACTGCCACCCAGTCGTTCACATGGCAAACCCCAATGTTCCTTAAGCGGCCTGAAAAGAATGGAATCCTAGACCTGTCTTGTTAGAGTAGAAGCACATTGAGCTGCCTGCCCTTCCATATTGCCTGTGGACCTATGAATGGTGCTCCTTAAAATGTCAGTGTAGAGGGACTGAGAATCCTGTCTTCCTGCCCTATCATTCCGTAACTTTGAGAAGCATGTGGGCTCAGTGCAGGCTACTTATTTTTAGTTCTGTAAGAACAGGATTTTTTAAAAACCATCTGAACAGAAGAAATAAAGCGGAAGGTAAGCTCAGCTCATGTGCTCATCAAGCTGCACAAATCTCCATCTGCTCTGGGAAACATTCATGGGAACAGAAGGATTCTTCCTCCCGAGAATGTTGTTTTCATTATATAATCATAGATATGGCATGTGGGTGATTTCTGTGTACAAATACTTTACCCATGAGAAATGTATAGCTGTTAGATATGTGTGAGCTCACACATATATGCAATAGATGCTATACATAGCTGTGTGCATGTGTATGTGTATATATTTATGTTCATATTTTAACATATGAAACATGAAATATAAGTACAATATTATTTTTGTATCCAAATAGTTAACAGAGCAGATGCCCTTAGATTCTAATATGTGTTCAGTCCTGAAGATAGACAAGTTAAATATAAAAATAGGAGGAGAGGAAAAATAAAAGTCCATTGAGAAGGAATAGAGAGAAAGAACAGGTCTTGTGAATAAGGAGTTCGTTTGGATCAACACAGTATTTGCTAGAATGAGTCTGCAGGGTGCTTTTTGCAGAGAGGAATGGGCTCCGTAGGATCTCCATGGCTTTTGAAGGCAGATGAGTTGTCTCTGTTTCAGATGAGTCAAGCTCCAGTCCTGGAAGGCAGATGTCCTCCCCCGATGGTGGGCCACCAGGCCAGTCAGACACAGACAGCTCTGTGGAGGAGAGCGACTTTGACACCATGCCAGACATTGAGAGTGATAAAAACATCATCCGGACCAAGGTACCCACTCTGCCTCACCATACTCTTTGAGAGGGCAGAAAGTTTGGCAGTAGAATAAATTTCAGCAGTACCTCAGTTTCCTTTATTTTGTTTCCTTCAGGGAAAGTCAAATTTCCCAGAAGGCTTACATCAAATGTGCCTACAGACTAAAAGCAATACTCTGTTAATTAGCACTTGTTTTCTCGAGGAAGAAAGGTGAGCACATTAAAGAGAACAGAGCATTAATCCACTTTTAAGGTCTGAAGTGGCTGACCATGGACAATAGAGGCGGAAGGGATCCAGCCAGATGGAAGAAAAGATTCATTTGAGGGGTGTACTGGGGATGGCTCCCTGGTTCTGTGCGTATCATCTTTCAGTAGGAAAGCTCATTTCTTTCTGGCTTGTAATTATTATTTTGTGTCATATCCAGCAAAAGATATGAAGGTGAAATGCACAGTTTCAGCCCTGTGTAGTTCAAGAACCACACAGCAGACAGCTCTGAAAGCTGGGAAATCAATTCTTGACATATAAGAAGCACTCAAGACTTCCAATAAGTTGCCCACATCAGCCAGTCCTTAATATTCCAAGGAAAATACTAAGATTTTTATTAAGGTATCATGGGAAAAACAACATTAAAAGAAAAGTCTTAAATAATTTTAATCAAGAAATTTGATTTAACTAATCAAATTTAGTAAATTTGAATAATTGTATCCCTTGAAAAAAAAAATATATATGTATATATATATATATATATATTTTTTTTTTTTTTTTTGAGACAGAGCCTGGCCCTGTCACCCAGACTGGAGTGCAGTGGCGCGATCTCGGCTCACTGCAAGCTCCGCCTCCCGGGTTCAGGCCATTCTCCTGCCTCAAGCCTCCTGAGTTGCTGGGACTACAGGCGCCCGCCACCACGGCCGGCTAATTTTTTATAGTTTTAGTAGAGACGGGGTTTCACCGTGTTAGCCAGGATGGTCTTGATTTCCTGACCTCGTGATCTGCCCACCTCGGCCTCCCAAAGTGTTGGGATTACAGGAGTGAGCCACCGCGCCCAGCCCCCTTGAATAATTTTAACAATTTTAATTTAAATTGAGACGTGTTAAGTTTGCCTTTGTATCTCATGCATAAACAGCTGAGTACAGTTTTGCATTCTCTTTTTATTTGGCATTCCAGATGTTCCTTTACCTGTCAGATTTGTCCAGGAAGGACCGGAGAATTGTCAGCAAAAAATATAAAATTTATTTTTGGTAAGTAGATGACCAGCAGGACCATGGTTCCCTTAAATAAACATAAAGTTTTCTTTATAAGAGCCACAACCACTTAGGCACAAGGTTTTAGTGTTTAATGAGGCACAGGCGTAGGGGATGGTGTTACCAGCCAACTATCAGTAGACCTGCGATGGCCACACACATGAACACAGCCTCCCTCCCAGCCAAGAGGCTGAGCTGCCTTGCAAGAAATCTTCTCTCCCCTCAGAAACCCTCAAGCTGAATATTGTACTTTTGTGACAGCTCCTCGTCTTATTTTCTCTTGAAGGATGCCCTTTAGCTTGCATACAGATCTTAGAAGGACATAAGGGACAATGGGGCCACATGAAGTTTCATAGTGGGACCAGCAGTTTGGAAACCACACCCCTTTCATGCAATCCATCACTCATTACTCATTACAGTTGTTAGATGTTCAATCTAACAACAGCCTAAAGAGACGTTCCCTCATAAATGATGTGGTTAAACCAGAAGCAGTTATTACTCACACTGTTTTACAAATGGTTGTAAGAAAAGAAAGAAAAAAGAAACCCTAATATCTGTTGGGTACTAATCATTAACCTTTTTAAAAAATACGTTTCAGTTAGTATTGTCAGCTTTTGCCTCTGCAACCTAACTAAAAGTATCCAAGGGAAGCTTTTCTTTACTTCTTTAATTTCCCTTTAGACAGGATACTGTGTACCAAATGCCCCAATGCAAGAGAGGGGAGGGAACGACTGGAGAAACAGGAACCACATAATCAGCTTCTGGCTATTTTTGCAAGTTAATTATGGACTTATGGGGTGGAAGCATTCTTTTAAAAATATTAACCAAAGACTCCACTGTTCATTTGAAAATAACTATTTCTGGTTCTTTCTGCCTGCATAGGAACATCATTACCATCGCTGTGTTTTACGCACTGCCCGTGATCCAGCTGGTCATTACCTACCAGACAGTAAGTGTTGCCCCAGCCCCAGAATCCCAGCTTGCTTTCTGCAGGGAGAGTCTCCACTGTGACTGACAGAGAGAGGTACGAGGTACAACTTAGGATCCATTCAAGAATTTCCCGTTGGGGTTCCAATTGGAGTTCACTATTGCTTCCTCTTTCTTTTTTATTTTTTTTTTAAGACTGAGTCTCACTCTGTCACTCTGGCTGGAGTGCAATAGCACGATGTCGGCTCACTGCAACTTCTGCCTCCCAGATTCAAGCAATTCTCTTGCCTCGGCCTCCCGAGTAACTGGGATTACAGGCATGTGCCACCATGCCCAGCTAATTTTTTTGTGTATTTTTAGTAGAGGCAGGGTTTCAACATGTTGGCCAGGCTGGTCTCAAACTCCTGACCTCAGGTGATCCGCCTGCTTCAGCCTCCCAAAGTACTGGGATTACAGGCATGAGCCACGGCACCCAGCCCATTTGCTTCATTTTTAACTGATCTTTCAATCTAGTTCCCAATTGTTTTATCACAAAGGGAGCTGCAATCTCTTGTATTATTTTGTCTACCAGTCTGAAATTCTTACCTTGCGCTCATTCAGTCATGATATCTATCCACTGCATCTGTTACTTAACACTCTGAGCTTTCTGATCATTATGGGATAATGAGTAGAGTAAATAAAGTTCCAGACCAAAACAAAGGAACCTGATAGCTAATCTAGCCTGTGCCTTCCCATTGAAGGTAAATATTTTTTTGTAAAATTAAAAACAGCTTCGTGGCTTGGCATGGCAGCTCACGTCTGTAATCCCAGAACTTTGGGAGGCCTAGGCAGGTGGATTGCCTGAGCTCAGGAGTTTGAGACCAGCCTGGGCAACATGGCAAAACCCTGTCTCTACCAAAAATACAAAAATATTAGCTGAGTGGTGTCATGCACCTGTGGTCCCAGCTACTCAGGAGGCTGAAGTGGGAGGATTGCTTAAGCCTAGGAGGTGGAGATTGCAATAAACTGAGATTGCGCCACTGTACTCTAGCCTGAGTGACAGAGTGAGACCATGTCTCAAGAACAAAAGAGAGAGAGAGAGAGAGAGAGAGAAAGAAAGAAAAAGAAAGAAAGAAAGAAAAAAAAAAGAAAGAGAGAAAGAGCTTCATAAAACTAACAAAATATTACAGTAAAAAGAAAATGTAAAATAAAAACAAACATTTTTTAAGCAAAAATAATATGAAAGTAGTTTGAGAATCCTCATTCCTCCATAGAATCCTAGGCCAAGGTCACTTAAATTACGTTCTATAGAATTTATTACACAGAAAGCCCGTTTACAATAGCACAAAGCTGAAGTTGTTTCTAATGCAGTGGCCCTCAGACTTTGCTGTGAATTAAGGTCACCTGGGAAGCTTTTACAAATCCCAGTGTCCAGGTTGTACCCCATCCCAATTAGATCAGAGCCTCTGAGGGTAGAGCCAGGTATCTGTAGTGTCTAAACCCCCAGTGATTCCAACATACAGCCAAGATTGTGTGTTAATGATCTAATAATAGTTAGCCAATTGCATACCTATTATGCAATGAGAACAAGGACTTCACGAGGTTTGAGCACCACTGTTTATAACCTAAATCTTCTCTGCATACTTTGGGAGACTGTCAGAAGATACACCTGGACTGTGGTTTGGGAAAGTTCTTGACAGAGATGGTGATAAATAGGGAAAACTGAACACACATCTCCTTGTGTCTACCTGCCTCATGTTTACCATTTCTACCCAGAGGAGGGGACAGCTCTATATCCCCTCTGCATTCACCTAGAAAATAGACATAGTGTGACAGTCCTGAAACGTCCCAATGTTAACATTTCATAGTCCTTTCATCATGATAACAAAGGAAACGCATTTGGGTGAATTCCACCTCGGGGCTGCATAAGGGGGTACACAGAATATTCCCGTTCAAAGCAAGATGGTAACTTTTTTGGAAAAAAGCACCTGTGCTGTGTAAGGTGGCAGATAACGGCCCATCTCTGCCGAGGAGCACTGGTTACATTGTAAACTAGCGACAGCGCGTCTCCCTGAGCCCTGTCCGCTCTTTGTGATTTCCAGCTGGGGCCCAGAGGACGGAGGAAAACCACATTTCCTCTTCTCACTCTTGATTTTACAGGTGGTAAATGTCACTGGCAACCAGGACATCTGTTACTACAACTTCCTCTGTGCTCACCCCTTGGGCGTCCTGAGGTAAACCCAGTCCTCTGGTTGCCCATGAGGCATTTAGAAATGCCTTTCTGTCTAATGTTGTGATTTCAGTTTTTAAAAATGCTAAAAACAACTGTGGGAAACGACTCTATTCAAGGGTAAAAAGGAACTAAACCAAGAAGTTGAGACCAGGTATGCTCCTCTCGTTCCTGTATATGGTTCTCAGGAAACATTCCTAAGCAGGCTGCCTGCTAAGATGAGGGCAGTGACATTTTTTAAAATGTCAGATCTCTAGCTGTGGTGGCATTTGTTCACAGGCATGAGCTGGCAGCCTATTGTCTCATTCGATCCATTAAACAATCTCATGAGACAGACATTACTACAATCCCTATTTTTAGATGAAGGCAGGTGAGGACTTGCTGAAGGTCCCTCAGCTGCTACGTAGTGCAGGACACAAACCCAGCCCTGTGGCCTCCCAGGCCATGCTCCAGCCACCAGAACTTGGAGACGTGGAAGAAACATTGCCTGGGAGTTGGGAGTCTGGCTTCTTGCTCCAGAGCTGAACCAGCATTCGTTTCCTCAAATAAAGCTGCTGGCTATGATTGGCTGACACTTATCTGAAATTCACAATTAGAGAGCTGAACATCGACACTTACGTGGGTCCACCTGTGAGAACTCACTCTCACGGTGTAGCTGAAACACTTGCCCGTCTTTGAAGCAGCTGTCCTTCCCAGGACTCATACTATACAAATGCCATCGGGATATGAGAGGATGGGAGGGTGTTAGGAAGCCAAGCAGGCGCTCTTGAGAGGAAATAGACACATTGTCACAGGCTGAGTAAGCATCATAAAATGAAGGAGTTATGTTAAAGAGGATTTCTAATGCTTTTCTGATCCTGAAACCTTATGGAAAGATTAATGGAAAACACTGATGCTGAATTCGTTCGTTCCTTCATTCATCATGCATTCTCTGGTCCCTTTGATGGTCTTGACTCTCTCATGGCCTCTCACTCATCCCTGTAGTGCCTTCAACAACATTCTCAGCAATCTGGGCCACGTGCTTCTGGGCTTCCTCTTCCTGCTGATAGTCTTGTGCCGGGACATCCTCCATCGGAGAGCCCTAGAAGCCAAGGACCTCTTTGCTACGGTGAGGAGAGAGTGGGTGGGAGCTAGGGAGGGTTATGGATCCAAACAGGATCTGCAAAGGAGTGGGACATCTGGCTTGACGGTGTGATGAGTTATTATGTGTAACAAACTGCATGAGACTAGAAGCATGGGCTTCCAGATTAGTGATGTGGTGGATATGGCACTATTTAATGTCTATTGACCACCCTTTCTCCTTTTGCAGGAGTACGGGATTCCCAAACACTTTGGTCTCTTCTATGCTATGGGCATTGCACTGATGATGGAAGGGGTGCTCAGTGCTTGCTACCATGTCTGCCCTAATTATTCCAACTTCCAATTTGGTAATTAGAATTTATATCTACTATACAGATTTGAATCATGAGTCTCATCCTGGAACCCTCCCCAAAAATGTCAAAGTCATGCTTGCAAGGATCAAGTGGCATTTTATGTGAGCTGAGGTGGTCAGAGAGGACCTCCACACAGAGCATGATCTAATTGAGCAGTGAGACTGCTTTGGGATGAAAGTTATGGAGAACCCAATTTATATTGGATTGAATAATAAGGACATCCAGATGTAGAAAGGGCTTGTGGTTGATTTATCTGGTGGCTCTGCCTTCATTTCTCTGTGATCTCTTTGACTGTACTAAGCCTGTTTGTTGGTTTTATCCTCAGGCTATCTTCCCTGATGGTGGCAAAAGTAACTATAGCAGCCCCCATCTTCATAGCTCCACCCAACAATTCCAAGGCGACAAGCTGGGTTCCAGGAGCCTTCAATTAAGAGCAAGGAAGCTGTTTTTTGAGAAAGCCACAGATAACATCCTTTCACACCTCAGTAGCTTAAACAGTCATGAGCCTTTTTTTTTTTTTTTTTTTTTTTTTTTTTACAGCATCTGGCTCTGTCGCCCGGGCTGGAGTGCAGAGGCATGATCTGAGCTCACTGCAATCTCTGCCTCAAGGGTTCAAGTGATCCTCCTTCCTCAGCCTCCCTAGTAGCTGGGACTACTGGTGCACACCACCACGCCCAGATAATGTTTGCATTTTTTTTGGTAGAGATGGGGTTTCACCATGTTGGCCAGGCTGGTCTCCAACTCCTAACCTCAGGTGATCTGCCTGCCTCTGCCTCTTAAAGTGCTGAGATTACAGGTGTGAGCCACCACACCCAGCCCCATGAGCCCATTCTTGAATCATTCTCTAAGCGCTGGTTAGCTCAGACCCAGGTTGCTTCACCAATCAGCAAAAAAGGTGGGACTGTCTTTAGACCAATCAGCGCTGTCCCTGGAGCCAAAGGTGGGATTAGCTTTCCTGAAGCAAAGGGGCTGAGACAGTGTGCATTTCTGAATTGAAAGCGGGTAGACATTGAGTTAGTATTGAGATGCTGTTAAGAAGGAAGGGAAGAGCTGATGCTGTCTAGCAAGTAACGACATCCTCCATGCTCAAGGATGCGGATTTTTTTAAACGGTCATTTAATGTTTGTGCTCCGGCTTCTGGTTGTTAACTCTGAGCACCACAGAAGTCTGTCACATTTAATTTTTTTTAATTAGAAAACATTTTCAATGGAGAAAACTACAGAGAATATATTATTCACCACTCAGAATGAACAAATGTCAACACTTTTAAATATTTGCCTAGATCTACTTTTTAGACAATAAAGCACTGTGATAAAGTTGAGGTCCTGTTTTGACGCACTTTCAAACTTAATCTCCTCCTTCCTCCCCTAAAAGCAATAACCATGATTAATTTGATATTTGCCTTTCTGGTTTTTATAATTTTTCTATATTTGTAGCAAATTAATAGTAGTTTATCATTCTGTGTTCTACAGACTTTTTGCATTCAAGAATATGTTTTCAAGATTTATCAATATTATATCAAGGACATGTAGTTCACTCATTTTTTTTTTATTATTATACTTTAAGTTCTAGGGTACATGTGCATAACGTGCAGGTTTGTTACATATGTATACCGTTCACTCATTTTTAAGGGTTATCTATTGTATAACAAAAAGTATCACATTTCTCAATTCCTCTATTGAATAGCATTTAGATGTTGCCCATATTTTGCTATTACAGATAATGCTACAATGAGCATCCTTCTATATATGTCTCTTTGTATGTATGTGAGAGAAGTTCCTTGTGATACCTAGAAGTAGAATTTTTTAGTTACTTGGTCTGTGCACCTTCTATTTTACCAAAAACTGACAAATTTCTCTCCAAAGCATTAATTCCCACTCCCAATAACTGTGTGAGACTTCCCATTCCCCAGATCATCACTAACATTTGTTACTGTCAGACATTTAAAGTTCTTACCAAGTTTTTGAGTAATATGGAGGCATTGCATTGTCTTAATTTGCATTTCCACAATTCTAATGCAGTAAGCTACGTTTTATTTCTGGCTATTTTCCATCACTGGGCTATAAAGCTATAAATGTGCAGTAATCAATATGGTTATATTTTAGGGTGCTGAGAACGACCTCCCACACCCATCTGGGGCTCATTTTATGGTCACACTGCCTACACTATCACTATTAGGAATTCTTTTGTTATTGCTGTTGAACACCAGTGTCTAAAACGCAAGGGGGGATAGTTGTTTATTGTATCAGACACTCTTCTTCCATGAAAGAGGAGTTATTTATTTATTATATCAGATGATTTTTTTCTGTGAAGTAAAGGGCAGCCTTAGAGAGGTTTAGAAGTGGAGTACGTGGGATCTGCCTAGAGAAAGTTCCAGGAGGCTGACATGTTAGAGGTCTCCACACAGTCTGCAGGTAGCAAATAGTCCATAGATTGAAGTGAGGGGTACTCAGAGGCTGAAGAAGAATCTAGAAAATATCATCTGTCTGTCACCTACTGAATCCTGATCGTCTGGCTCCTCCTTTGGGTCCTCAGACACCTCCTTCATGTACATGATCGCTGGCCTGTGCATGCTGAAGCTCTATCAGACCCGCCACCCAGACATCAATGCCAGCGCCTACTCCGCCTACGCCTCCTTCGCTGTGGTCATCATGGTCACCGTCCTTGGAGTGGTGCGTCCCCCACCTTCTTCCACCTGGCTCTCAAAAAGTGCCCCCCTAGGTCCAATAAACAAACAGCAATCAAGTGAACGGGTTTGGATTAACCAAAATCCTCAGTTCATGACACACTTTTATCATTGGCCCTCTCATGGCATACTTTTATTTAGTTATTTAGTTTTTTGGGTTTTTTTTTTTTCCAGACAGAGTCTTGCTCTATCACCAGGCTGCAATACAGTGGTGCGATCTCAGCTCACTGCAACCTCCACCTCTCGGGTTCAAGCAATTCTCCTGCCTCAGCTTCCTGAATAGCTGTGCCTACAGGTGTGCACCACCATGCCCGGCTAATTTTTGTATTTTTAGTAGAGACGGGGTGTCACCATGTTGGTCAGGCTGGTCTCGAACTCCTGACCTTGTGATCTGCCTGCCTCAGCTTCCCAAAGTGCTGGGATTACAGGCATGAGCCGCTGTGCCCGGCCTTGTTGGTTATTTTTAATAATGTATTAGGCACCTGTAAAACCACCACAGGATAATTTTAATATAAAGCTAGGCCTGACTCATGTGAAAATGGAATAGGGGTATATAAGCTGACTGGAGAGACTGACTCAAAAAAACAGAAACCACTTTCTAAATATGCATGGGCAACACGTGTTGGCTGTTTTGGTTATTTGAAGTGCATTCGCCCCCACTTTAGACCTATTGCCTCTTCACCATTGCTATTCAGCTGCCTCTCCTATTTCTCTTTTCCATTTTCATTTGGTCCCTTAACCTTTTTTTTTTTTTTTCCTGTCCCATGGGGGTAAGATTTGTGGGAGTTTCCAGAGGGGGAGAAAAACAGAATGCGCACACAGCTGTTTTTGACTCCTTACACATACAGGAGAGAGGGTGATTTTGATGAGTTTTCTAGGGAAAACCCCAGATGAAGCTAACTTCCATCTTTACTCCTAGGTATTTGGAAAAAATGATGTGTGGTTCTGGGTCATCTTCTCTGCAATCCACGTTCTGGCCTCACTAGCCCTCAGCACCCAGATATATTATATGGGCCGTTTCAAGATAGGTGAGTTACCTGTTAATTCTCTACTAAACACACGAATCAACTTCAATGAAAAATCAGACATTGCCTTTACTTATGCTGAATGAAAGTGTTACTGGTCATCATGAACACATGCTCTGGACTCTATGCCACGTTTAATAGCATATATTCTCTCCAAGAGCTTCCTCTCCCTTATAGGATAGTGATAAGCTATTACCACTAGTTCTATTTTCAGCTGAGAAACTAAGATTTGCCACACCTCAGAGAGGAGGTATACCTCCAACCCTTGGTTGCAAACACTTTGCAGTCTGCCAAACTTTGACTTGTATTTAGAAAATGGTATGATCGTCATACCACTAGTTCCACCTAGAGGAACATTTTTCAGTTTGCAAAATTCAAAGGGAGCATTTCTCTAACCATGCGAAATGGTTATCAGGAATGAATTATATATTTTCAGATTCTAGGGCTGGAACTTTTGAGACCAACTTGCCAATCTTAGAGGCAGGATACCTGCTGAGCTCCCTCCAACTTATCAGAGAGCATTGTATGTTCTACAGAAATCACCTTGTGATCTGCTGTTGGTCAGTCATCATATATGGGAACAGATTCAAGTGGTTTTAGTGCACTTAAATTTAAAAAAATCATTTTAAGTTCCGGGAAGTCAGACTTACATATCCTTTTGTCTATTTTAAGGAAAATTATTATATGTAAACATAGGCAAACCTCTGATATTAACAAAGCCTGGAACAAAAGTCCAAATAAAACCCTGCATAGCTTATGTGTAAGAACATCAAAGTCATAAAGTGGACTAAAAAGCTATTAAATACATGAAAGGAGAGAGGGAGGGAGGGAAAAATATACCTCCACTGCAACGTAGAAGGACTAGGTTCAAATTTAAAATTCTTGGTTCTTCAAAGAACACTTTTTTCTACCTCTGGTTGTGTCTTAAGGAGTCTCACAGGTATGCATGTGGCACCTTTGCCCAACATCCGATGTTCATCCACATCCCCCATAAATAGCCACCACTTGGCCATTCCCTGCCCCCAGAGGTATGCCTTAGTGGTGCCATCTGCCCTCAGGAGAATAGACAAGGGAAGGGGGCTAAGCAGGCCCTAGAGCAGGCTCAGAGCCTTCTGGGCAGGTAGATGCTTCTGGCACCCTGGAGTTCAGAATTTCAAGAAGGAAAAGAGGAGTCCTTTGGCCCTACAGACTCCTCACTCATGAGGGAATGAGGCCTCTAAAATATGGGACCCTCTTGTCCAGGTCTAAGAGCAATTCTAAATAAATGAATGGCTTTAAGACTAGAAGACCGAATAGAGCAATTGCTCGTTTTCAAAGGTTGGTTCTTTTTCCATGGTCAGTAGATTTACCTCTGGCATGAATATAGCCAGCATACCTCCAAATCCCCCAGTTACTTGAGCCAGTTGTGTAGAACATTTGGCAGGGCACGCTGGGCATGCTCCTCCACCAGACAGAAGGTAAGTGAAGTCATACAAACTAAACTTTCAAAAGGAAAATGATTCGGAGCATTATTGTTCTGGTTTCTTCCAGAGTTGGAAAAATAAACTTGAGTGCAGATATACGCAGTGGAGTGACCACTAATGCACAGAGGAGCCTTCATGTATTTATACCACCTTTGCCTTCTGCAGTTTTGCAATGCCAAATTATCCTATCTTTTAAAAGAAGTGAAATTTAGCGTATTATATTATGACCATGGAATAATTTGTTAGGGTCCCAACAGGAAAAAGATGTCACACACAAAGAAAGAGAAGGATTTATTCACAGAAGGACTATTCACAAGATGTGGATGGGGTAGAGGGGAATAAAAGGATATCATGGAAACTTGGGGTTAGCAGCAGTGAAGCTTTTACATCTATAAGCCCAAAAAGACAGGGAACACATGGTTCCCAAAATGTGGAAGGAGAGAGTTATGGGGAAAAAAGTCACTCTGAAAGGAGCAGTGACCTTTCATTGACATTCTGGCCAGCATGCAGTAACCTCACAGGGAGGACGCCAGCAAAATAAGTCCTCCGAGCTCACTTTCCTTCCTTTGTCCCTGTAGTCTCCTGCTGGGATTCCCCATTGTCCAAGGAAAGTCAGAGAATCCACTGATGTCGTCCACACAGGCCCGCCTCCCCAGTGTGGTGGGTCCCCAGGAGACAGACTCATGGCAAGTGGGCCTAGTACAGCAAATGGGAGCTAGCCAGCCTGTAGTTTAACTGAATATTTTCCATTTCCGTACCCATGGAGTCTTCCCCAGGTGGTTACAGATGAACCAGAGTCAAAAGAAAACGTTCTATTTCGTCATGACAATGACTGTATCTAAATTTAGTCCAAAGCCAGGAAGTTGGATTCGTGGACAGTGTTCAGCTGACTCCAGCCTTTCTACCCATGTCATAAGCTGCCTTTGCTTTCTAATCACATGTCCTTTCTCTGTGGCCCCTCGGGCTACACAAGCAAATCAATGTGGACACAGGAAAGGCAGCAGCAACGAGGAAGAACATTTAATCATTATCTCTTATAAACCAGAGAGCCGCTTCCCCAAATCACTACTGTGTCCACCATTCCCAGAGCTCTGGAAAACGACCTCCGGGATTTCTCATGAGAGACGCTGGATTATAAACCGGACGTGGTGCACGAAAGTAGACAGGGAGAGAAAAAAGTCTCAGTTCACTCTTGGAGGATTTGAAGACTTCTGAATGTTTGAGACAAGCAGAAAGATCCTGTGTTCTTTTTTGACAAGTAAACATTACTTTTATAATCAGAAAGCAAAGTTAGAGTCATCCATCTCGAGAAAAAATAAAATGACCAGTAGTTTACATGTTTGGCTACTTTCTTACAATCTCTTCTTTTTTTTTTCTCCTTTCTTCTCTGCTTCCTACTGATTCAGATGTGTCTGACACAGGTAATGTTCAGCCACCCTTTCCAGGGGTCTAGATTGCTTTTTTATCAAAGTGACCCAGCTGGCTGTCCTGGCAGCCCTGCTCCCTGAACAGCCTCTTTCAGGCTGGGCAGACTCCATGGGAGTGGGGAGAGAGAGACGCTCGGAGGGGAGACTGCGCTCCACCCCAGCCTGCTCCACGCCACTTCTGGGATGCCACAGAGCCGGGTGTCTTCCCCCTGGTTAAATTGACCACAGGGGTAACCTTGAGGAGGAGCAGGATTCATAGCAGAGCTGAGATCCACATTCTGGAAAATGTTTGCCTTGGGCAGACCCAGACTGGCATTCGATATCTGTGGTGTGGACAGCTCACAGAAACACAGCCCGCCTTTGAACCTGACTGTTCATGTAACGTTTTAATACACACACTCGCTGCATTTCATATCATCCTTTTCAACTGTGTTTAAAAACCCTTTTCTGTCTTTTTCTCCCCATCTTAACTTACCTTCCCTTGATGATTGTTTCAGTTCAGATAGATTTTCTGAACATGCTCAGTGAGCCTTTAGTTCAATTGTTACTAACTTACAACCACATTGAGAAATAACAGATCTGAACCTTCACAAGCTAAGATTTCCCATCCTCTGGAGAGAGCATATGTTTTAAAGTAGATTGAGGAGACCCATAACATCTCTACTATAAAGAAAACACCACCAGAGTAAACGGTAAACAAAAAGAAGCTTAGCTGAAGGAGACAGAATAAGGGTCGGCCAGCCACCCATGTTATTTGCGAGCGCTTGTTGCTCATGTCCATCTTCCTCGCCTTTCTGCTGTGTAATGCACAGATATGGCATCCCTCAGTGACAATACCATTTTTCAAAGCAAATGCTTATTGCACACCTATTAGGTGCAAAGCATTCTAATGCATTTTAATGAAGTGAGGATGACATCATTCTGGCTCCAAAAGCCACTTCAGAGTATTTGTATTTTCGTTGACTAAGCCTTCTCACCATGCATTTTTGTATTATCAGCAGATTTGGGAATTTTCCGGCGGGCTGCCATGGTGTTCTACACAGACTGTATCCAGCAGTGTAGCCGGCCTCTGTATATGGTACGTGCATGTTCCTGTGTTCTCTGACCCTCTCCCAGGAAGAAGGGGAGTAGTAGGAGGGACAGGCGTGGGGCAGTCACTCAGGGCTCCTAAAATCAAGAGGGCCAGATGGCCCAGGGTGGCTAAAGGCCCGATAGTGGGGAAGGAGCATGGTGCTTACTCTTTCTCATAAAAGTCAAGCTAACATGGTCCCATTTTTATAAACAAAATATTTGCTAGTATAGAAAAAAGAAGAAAATACATCTACCCAACTGTTAAACAGTGATGATTATGGACACATGGTGGGGAATAACACACACTGGGGTCTGTTGGAGGGTGGGGTGGTGGGGGGCCGGTGGGAGGAGGCAGAGGATCAGGAAGAATAGCTAATGAATGCTGGGCTTAATACCTGGGTGATGGGATGATCTGTGCAGCAAAACCACCATGACACACGTTTACCCATGAAACAAACCTGCACATCCTGCCCATGTAACCCTGAGCTTAAAATAAAATTTGGAAATAAAAAATAATAATAACTTTTTTTTTTTTTTTTTTTTTTGAGACGGAGTTTTGCTCTTGGCCCGGGCTGGAGTGCAGTGGCACGATTTCGGCTCACTGCAACCTCCGCCTCCTGGGTTCAAGCAATTCTCCTGCCTCGGCCTCCCGAGTAGCTGGGATTACAGGCATGCGCCACCATGCCTGGCTAATTTTGTATTTTTAGTAGAGGCAGGGTTTCTCCATGTTGGAGTCTGAAACTCCCAACCTCAGGTGATCCACCCGCCTTGGCCTCCCAAAGTGCTGGGATTACAGGCGTGAGCCACTGTGCCCTGCCCAATAATGAAATTTTTAGAAAACAAAATAAAAATAAATGAACAGTGATCATAGCTATGGGGAGGATCAAGACAGAGCACCCCTATAAATAATCATCCAAACAGGTACCCTTGTGGAAGTGAAGGGCACACCACTAATAATTCCACCAGGACAGCAGGGGTAAACTAGGACTGTCTCCAGCAAACTGGGACCCATGGTCACTCCAGTCACGTTCATTAGGAACTTACACTTCTACATTATGTGTTTCTGTACTGTTTGATTTTCACAATGAGCAAGAATTTTTTATAACTTGTGCTTATTGCTTGATAGTTGAAATATACTTCAGTGTATGATATATTTCTGTAGTGAGCTCAGAGCTCAGGGCCCTGGTCCCAGCTCTCTCTTGGCTCTCTGGTCAGTGATCTTGGGAAGGCTGCCTTCCTCCTCTGAGCCCACTGCCCAGGCTTTACAAAGTGCTGCCATCAGAACTAGTGATGCTAGTATGGCCTGGCACACAGGGATTTAGCAAGTACCTGCTAATCCTTTATAATCAGAATATTTTTTCTAAAGGAATATGGAAATCTGTGAGCACTCTAGAGCTTGGGCAGGAGCTATAAGCACTAAAAACAAGGGAATTGAGGCTGGAAGGTTTATTCAGGTGAGAATGAAAACATCCATTAGGACTTGTGAGTATTTTGAGAGGCAAGTTCTCCTGCTTACCTGTGAACCAGGAGAGGCAAGTAATGTTTTTGGTTTTTACATTAATTGATGGAGGCTTCTTTTTTTAAATAGACTTTATATTTTTTAGAGCAGCTTTACATCCACAGAAAAATTGAGCAGAAGGTACAGAAATTTCCCATATACCCTCTGCCCCAACACCCCCCACGCACAGCCTCCCCTACTATGGACGTTCCAAACCACAGTGGTACATTGGTTACAGTTGATGAGCCTACACTGACACATCATTACTACCCATGTAAGGCTTACATTACATTAATGCTCATTCTTGATGTGCGCTCATAGGTTTTGACAAGCGTGTTGACATGTACCTACCATTATAGTATCATATGAGCCAGTTCCACTGCCCTAAAAATCCTCTGTGCTCAGCCTATTCATCCCTCCCTCCCTCTTAAGTCCTCACAACCACTAATCTTTTTTCTATTGACACAGTTTTCCTTTTTCCAAAACGTAATTGGAGTCATACGGTATAGAGCCATTTCATACTGACTTCTTCCACTTAGTAATGGGCATTTAAGTTTCCTCCATGTCTTTTCATGGCTTGATAGCTCATTTGTATTCAGCACTGAATAATATTCCATTGTCTGGATGTGCCACAGTTTATTTATTCACCCACTGAAGGGCATTTTGGTTGCTTCCAAGTATGGGTAATTATGAATAAGCTGCTATAACATTCATAGTTTCTTTTTTCCATAGATTTTTGTGTGGACATGAGTTTTCAACTCCTTTTGTTAAATATCAAAGGGAGCTATTGTTGGATCGTATGGCAATCATATGTTTAGTTTTGTAAGAAACTACAAAACTGTCTTCCAAGTGGCTGTATCATTTGGCATTCCCACCAGCAATGAATGTTACTATTGCTGCACATCCTCGCCAGCATTTGGTGTTGTCACTGTTTGGGGATTTTAGTCATTCTAATAGGTGAATTAATGTTTTTTTTAATGAAGTTACTTCCTCCAAATTGGATGGATCACCTAAAAGACAAAGAATTGCTACTTTTAAATAGTAGATGAGTGGTTATGCAAATTAAAGTATGATCAAATCTCTCCTAAAAGTTTTAAGTAGTATGCAAAGGACAGGGACAGACTGTGAATAAATCTCTGTCAGAGTAATTATTATTTATTTATTTATTTATTTATTTTGAGACAGAGTCTTGCTCTATCGCCCAGGCTGGAGTGCATTGGCGCAATCTCAGCTCACTGAAACCTCTGCCTCCCAGGTTAAAACGCTTCTCAGGCCTCAGCCTCTCAAGAAGCTACACTACAGTTGTGTGCCACCACACCTAGCTAATTTTTGTATTTTTAGTAGAGACGGGCTTTCACCATGTTGGCCAGGCTGGTCTCGAACTCCTGACCTCAGGTGATCTGCCCGCCTCAGCCTCCCAAAGTGCTGGGATTATAGGCATGAGCCACCACACCCGGCCTATTGTCCTCTAAAACTGACCTTTTCTCCCTATTTTCTCCCCTACAAGACTGTATATTGTAGACACAGGAACCTGGGAGTTTCAGGACCACCTTGAAACCAGAGTAATGGGTACAAAACTAACGCCCTACAGCTGGGGCCTGAGAGTTGCAATTGTGGCTACCAAGTAGTACACCCCAGAAAAACAGTGCTCGATTACATAGTACCAGTGGCAGAATGCTCTTAATTCTGTAATCAGCACATCCCACCAGCCTCCCCACTGAGAAGTGGGCCTGTGGGCGCAGCTCCACTAAACACTGGGGAGAAACAGAGTCCTGCTTTGCTCACCACATTTTCTTTCTCAGGGATGAGGTCAGGTCTATTTGCAGTTAGAAGCCTTGCCATTTAGTCTTCATATACAATCAGTGTCAGATCATAGGCAAGGCACTCTTAGAACCATAGAAAATGTTTTTCACCAATGCAATTGTTTTCCCATAGTTGATACTTCCACCACAGTAGGTTAAAAGAAAAGTCGGATGTGCAGCCTCTCATTTGATGTTTTCTTTCCTCTTTTCCAGGATAGAATGGTGTTGCTGGTTGTGGGGAATCTGGTTAACTGGTCCTTGTAAGTAGTCTTATGAAAACATGTTTTTGCCTGTATTAATGTCGGTAACGCTGTGGTTTAGCTTTCCTTGACTGTCATTTTTACAAAGAAATCTGAAATTAAGGAGAAGGTAGGATTGCTTGTTCTAGAGACTCAAAAAAGGTAGTTGGACATTCTCGTGTAGCAATTGTAGCCTCTCTTAAAAACACTGAGGCATTGAGTTCATTTGCTCAACAAGACAAACATCAAAACTCGTTAAATCTATGTGGATACGTTGGATAGATAGATGGTTGGATGGATGGATGGATGGATGGATGGATAGATAGATAGATAGATAGATAGATAGATAGATAGATAGATAATTATACCACTGATTGCAAACATCCAACATAGCTTTAAACTCTTTCACAGAACTTTCCATAAAGACTACCCAGAAGGCCTTCTTTTCTATAGAAATTTTTCTTTTACTAAATGTATGTGTGTGTATGTGTCTGTGTGTGTGCAAGTCCCTCTTTTATTTCTTTCTCTCCCCAGTCTCTTTCTTTCTTTCCACCTACATCATTCTTCCTCCTCCTTTCCCATGGCCTTTGTTCCTCAAATGGCTCAAAATAGAACAGAACAACAGATGCATATTTTTGCTAGCCACAATTATTTTATGCAATCTATTCTCAATTTATACAGTTGAATGAGTGAAATATTTTAGTGATCATTCAAACAATAAGTAAGTTTAACTGCTTTTATTTGTAGCTCCTAGCTGATGAGCTCCTCGGGGTCAGTGGCCTTTGACAAAACAAAAACAAAAACAAAAAAAGATTCTGTAATCTCAGTGAACATTAAGGAATGAAGAGGCATTCCTTCAGAGGAAGCCAGAATCAAGTCATGAGAATCTGAGTCTTATCTGGGGGGCATGTGCTTCTGGAAGAAGCTTCCCATGTTGTCACCCCAGGGATTGCCCCAGGATAAGATGTATACCATTTAAGGATTCCTCCTTTACTTGGGGGCAGGTCAAGATGAGAGGATTCTTGGGCAGTGGTCTGTTCTTGACCACCCTTTTAGCAGACTCCACAGTCCTGGTGGTCCTGAAAGAGAAGGCACTGGGGGGAGAAAAGGGACCAGCCTCTTGATAATGAACAGCCTTTGACTATCACCGTGGGGGCTCAGAATCACTTGGCTTGTCTCCGTCTCTCACATAAGCAAAACCATATCCACGATCTGCTCACGAGACAAGGCAGATGGTCTCTCTTTGTACAGCTCTGTGAGACGAGAAGGCCTGCAGGGATGAAGGAGGCTCAGTGACAGACCTCACCGTGATTATCTGATAGTGGGCTACCTCCTTCCCAGTTGCTCCATAAAGACATGGAATGATTTCCCATGAATGTTATTTTAAAAGGAATTACTTTCATATGGTCCTGAAGAAGAAAAATGGTGTGTGTGCATACATATGTGTGTATTTACATATAGGCATAGAGATGTATGTACATACATATGCATATATATATACTCAGAGAGAGAGAGAGAGAAAATGACAAAGCAAATGTAACAAAAAGCTAAAAACTAGAGAATCTGAAGGAAAGATGTACAAGAGTTGCTTGGTATACTAAAGATTTCAAAATCTGGGAGAAGAAAATTTTCTATATTACACACAACAAAGTCAGTTGAGGCCGCGTGCAATGGCTCACACTTAGAACCACAACACTTTGGGAGGCTGAGGCAGGAGGATTGCTTGAGCCCAGGAGTTTGAGACCAGTCTGGGCAATATGGTGAGACCCTCTCTCAAAAAAAAAAAAAACCAAAGTCAGTTGGAATTCAAAATGAACAAAAAGAGTCCATTAATAGTAGCTTTACACTTTAAATACTTACGAATAAATTTTGAGAGATGTACACAATCTTTCTGTAGAAAATGTAATTATCTTCTTAGGAGTCATAAGGAAAGTTAAGCTAAATGAAGACAGACATCAGGTCCTGGGTGGAAAGATAACTATTGCAAAGATATCCTTTCTCAAGGTAATGTATACATTTAGAGTTAGAATAGTAATTAAGTTAATAAGGTTTTATGTTTTATTCTAAAAGTTATTTGCCTAGTTAGGCAAAAAGTTCAAAGATCTTTGAAAAAGAGATTAACAGAAGGAAGGAGGGGCAGAGGTGACTAGCCCAGCATTGTCCAGTAGAACTCTCTGGAGTGATGTAAATATTCCACACATACAGCCCAATACAGTAACTATTAGCACATAGATATCAAAGACTTGAAATGTGGTTAGTGTGACTGAGGAAGTAGATTTTCAATTTTATTTAATTTCAATTAATTTTAATTTAAATAGCCACATGTGGCTACCAAGTGGAACAGTGCAGGCTAGCCTAATCAGATAATCTAGCATATTATAAAATGATAATAAAATAGTGAGGCACTGATCTAAAATTAGAAATTAGAAATATGAATCAGTGAATCTGAATGGAGGACAGAAACCCAACTAGATAGAGATATTGAGATTTTGAAAAATATATATGTGGATGTGTATTCATTAAAAACAATTTCAAAACAAGGAGATAAAGAATTATGTAATAAAGGACATACTATAACTGAATAGAAATCTGGAACAAAATTAAAGCTAACTCCAACCAAAATTAACTTTAGCATTAATTTTAAAACCATGGACAGCTAGCAAAAATTTGATAATGAGTGTCAATCCAATCATGGAGATGATTTTGCTTCTATTCTAAGGAACTAATCTTAAATGAAAAAAATAAGCTCAATGTCCGAAAGTATTTATTCATTGTAGTGTTTCTTATAATAGTGAAAAACCGAAGAATGTGGGAAAACACTTCACTTCAACAAAAGAGGAAAGATGATCGTTTACATTGCATTCAGTTATGGGAACTTTACATGGTTGTTAGAAATGAATGCTTGGAAGAAAGTGTAATAAATTAAAAGTTACTTATATAGGCAAGGCACCATGGCTCACAGCTGTAATCCCAGGGCTTTGGGAGGCTGAGGCAAAAGGATGGCTTGAGGACATGAATCCAACACCAGGCTGGGCAACATAGCAAGACCCTGCCTCTACAAAAAAATTTTTTAAGTTAGCTGTAAGTGGTGGCATGCATCTGTAGTCCCGGCTACCAGAGAGGTTGAAGTGGAAGGATCGCTTGAGTCCAGGACGTGAAGGTTGCAGTGAGCCGTGACTGCGCCATTGCACTCTAGCCTGAGTGAGGCAGTGAGACCTCAACTGTTAAAAAAAAAAAAAAAAAAGATGCTTATATGTTAAAGTATTATTTTAAAAATCTACTGTTTTATCACGAGGTAAGAGTTTAAAAACAAATAAAATAAACTAAAAATAAAAGTTAAAAAAAAAAAAAAAAAGCAACTGCCCCTTCCCCCTCAAGGGACTGGGGGATTGGAAAAGCCAACAGTGTTACAAATCCACCTTCACGGCTGCCCACATTTCTCCCACGCCCGCAGCGCCCTCTTCGGATTGATATACCGCCCCAGGGACTTTGCCTCCTACATGCTGGGCATCTTCATCTGCAACCTTTTGCTGTACCTGGCCTTTTACATCATCATGAAGGTAAGAGCGAGCTCCGGGAGCCGCTGCGTCGGGCCCTGGGGCAGGCGAAGGCGGAGACCCGTAAGGCCGCATCTGTTTCTTCCCCGGCAGCTCCGCAGCTCTGAGAAGGTGCTCCCGGTCCCGCTCTTCTGCATCGTGGCCACCGCTGTGATGTGGGCTGCCGCGCTGTATTTTTTCTTCCAGAATCTCAGCAGCTGGGAGGTAAGAGGCCAGTTTTCTTACCCAAAAAGAATTTCTCTCTCCAACTTGCCATTTTGGCCTTTCTGCCTCCCTCTCTTAATGTGTTTTCACAGTGTTTAAAATGAAAGTTTTCTCTACTAGGGATGCTTTGTAACAGCCATACATAAATGCACACTAACTGCGTGTGGTTATCATTCTCAGGGTGGCCCTTTATAAATCTGTGAGCACTATTGACATTGCAAACTTGGTCTTCATTGCATGTTGTATTAGGACGCTGGTCCCAGTGAATGCTTAACGTGGTCAAAAGCCTGGAGTAGTGCATCTCCTCATCTTTCTCATAATCTCCATCCATCAACAAATACCCAGGCCGCGCGCGGTGGCTCACGCCTGTAATCCCAGCACTTTGGGAGGCCGAGGCGGGTGGATTCCGAAGTCAGGAGTTCGACACCAGCCTGGCCAACATAGTGAAACCCCGTCTCTACTAAAAATACCAAAAGAATTAACCAGGCGTGCTGGCGGGCACCTGTAATCCCAGCTACTCGGGAGGCTGAGGCAGGAGAATGGCTTGAACCCGGGAGACAGACCTTGCAGTGAGCCGAGATCGCGCCACTGCACTCCAGCCTGGGCAACACAGTGAGACTCCATCTCAAAAAACAAAAAAAAACAAATACCCAAGCTCACGTATCATTACATCCCGTCCATAGATAGCAGAGCCGAAGCCTAAGAAGTTACTGGTATATCTGAGACACAGAACAGGAAGAAGTCTTAGCATTCCATCACCACAGTCACCACAATAGATTTTAGAACATTTCTGTCACTCCAGAAAGAAACCTCATACACATCAGCATTCACTCCTCACTTCTCCCTAACCCCTTCGCCCTAAGCAACTACTAAATCTACCTTTTGTCTCTGTATATTTGCTTATTCTGGACATTTCATGTAAATGGAATCACACAATACACGGCCTTTGTGTCTGACTTCTTTCCCTTATGTGTCCTAGGTTCAAGCATGCTGTAACATACATAGTACTTCATGTCTATTCATTGCTGAATAATATTCCATTGTACTGATATACCACATTTTATCTACCTGCTTATCAGCTGATTGACAGTTAGATTGTTTCTATTTTTTGTGTCATTATGAGTGCTGCTGCTGTGAATATTTGTGTACAAGTTTTTTTCTTGAGGTAAAATATACGTATAAAATTTGCAATCGTTACCGTTTTAAAGTGTGCTATTCAGCAGTCAAAAATACACGCACATTCTTTTGTTTTTCCCCTCATCTCCCTCTCCCCCCACCGTTCCTGGACTCTGGTAACTACCAAACTATTCTCTGTCTTCATGGGATCCACTTTTCTAGCTGCCTCATATGAGTGAGAACATGCAATATTTGTCCTTCTGTGCTTCACTTATTTCACTTAACATAATGGCCTCGAGTTCCATATGTGTTGCTACAAATGGCAGGATTTTATTCTTTTTTATGGCTGAGTAGTATTTTATTGTGTTTGTATGTATATGTACACTGCCTGTGTAGATATGTGTATCATATTGTCTTTGTCCTTACCTCCGTTGATGGGAACTTAGATAGATTCCATATTTTGCCTATTGTGAACAGTGCTGTAATAAACATGGGAGTGCAGATAACTCTTTGACATACTGATTTCTTTTCTTTTGGATATATATCAAGTAATAGAATTGCTGAATCATATGGTAGCTCTATTTTTTCCTTTTTTCTGTTTTTTGTTTTTTGTTTTTTGAGACGGGATCTCCCTCTGTCTCCCAGGCTGGAGTGCAATGGCATGATCTTGGCTCACTGAAACCTCTGCCTCCCAGGTTCAAGTGATTCTCCTGCCTCACCCTCCTGAGTAGTTGGGATTACAGGCACCCGCCACCATGCCCAGCTAATTTTTTTTGTATTTTCAGTAGAGACGGAGTTTCACCATGTTGGCCAGGCTGGTCTCAAACTCCTGACCTTAGGTGATCCACCTGCCTGTGCCTTCCATGGTGCTGGGATTACAGGCGTGAGCCACTGTACCGGCCGTAGCTCTATTTTTAGTTTTTTAAGGAACTTCCAAACTGTTCTCCACAGTGGCTGTACTAATTTACATTCCCACCAACAGTGTGTGAGAATTCCCTTTTCTCCACATCCTCACCAGCATCTGTTATTGCCTGTCTTTTTGATACGAGCCTTTTTAACAAGGGTAAGATGATATCTCATTGTAGTTGTGATTTGCATTCTCTGATGATCAATGATGTTGAGCACCTTTTCATACGCCTGTTTGTCATTTGTATGTCTTCTTTTGAGAAATGTCTATTCATGTCTTTTGCCCATTTTTAAATTGGATTTTTTTCACTTAGAGTTGTTTGAGCTCCTTATACATTCTGGTTATTAATTTCTGGTCAATGGATAGTTTGCAAATATTTTCTCCCATTCTGTGGGTTGTCTCTTCACTTTGTTTGTCATTTCCTTTGCTGTGCAGAAGCTTTGTAGCTTGATGTAATCTCTCTTTTCTATTTTTGCTTTGTTGCCTGTGCTTTTGAGGTCTTTGTGTACAGGTTTTTGTGTGGATGTATGTTTCCTCGGAAGCTAACTTTTCGAACCAGACACCTAGTAGCATTTTTGTAACTTTCCAGACGTTCAACTCTTTGAACAGCTGAACTGAGGGAATCTTGCCCATGTTCTGCCTCACCTTCCTCCAGGGAACTCCAGCCGAATCCCGGGAGAAGAACCGCGAGTGCATTCTGCTGGATTTCTTCGATGACCATGACATCTGGCACTTCCTCTCTGCTACTGCTCTGTTTTTCTCATTCTTGGTGAGTTCATATCTGTCTTTTTGTGACTTCCTTCTCTCTTTACATCTTGTACTCTCATTTTCTTCTTCTGCTCTTCCTTACATTTTTTTTATATTCCTCTCTAATTTTACTTTCCATTTCCTCCTTGTAATTCAATATACAGACCATCTTATTTCTTTTATAAATTTTATGTCCTTTGGTTAGATCTTTAGTTTTTCTTTTACCCTTCAATATCTTTAGACACAGAGGGACAAAATTATTTTCCCTAAGTTGCACAGCACATTTTTTCTGAATTGGTTATTAAACCCACATGCCCGAAATTCCCCCAGGAACCACTTTTAGCAATTCCGATAACATTGGGTTATTCTTTCTCATGCCATACTGACATTCCTCCTCCTCCTCCTCCTCCTCCAGTCTCTCTGAATATTTCACAAATATTTTACATATTCCTTAAGTGGCTTAGGATAGCAGCCACGCCTCTGTTGCCTTCTGATCAGTCTGTCCCAAAATCTCTCCTGTAGTTTCTCTGTTTTTTTGCCCCAACCCTTTCTCAGAAGCCACGCGTATTTATATCAACCCTGAATTATAGTTCCATCCTTTAATCCTAACTTTGACTTTCCCCAATTAAAAGTCCATGGTGCCTGTAGGCAGGTTCAATCGACAATTAACAACCCTACTAGACTTCAGGCCCCAGACCTACTAGACGCCCGCCCGGGCTCCACGCTAAGCGGGCTCAGGCGGGCCATATAACTTCAAGAGTGGAGCAGGGCTACCCCCTAGTGGCCAGTTTGGGAAGCTTAGCCAATCTGTGTAAACATTCCTTGTCTTTTACTTCTGATTGTCACCTTCATGAGAGAGACAGAGACAACAAAAGTGGAACCAAAGGTTCCACGTGGGGACAGTAGTAGTCGAGGGAACTAGAAATGGAGGAGAAGGGTACATTTCTTATATAGCAACACTCTATCCAACAGGACTTCATTCCCTTTGACTCTTGACCTAAATGTCCCCTAAGTAATGACTTCCCAGGCCACCCTATCAAAATTTTTTACCTCCCCACACCTGATACTTCCTATATTCCCTCCATTATTTAACTTATATCCTTAGCACTTACTACTATCTAATGGGCTATATTTTATGCATGTATTTGTTTCATGTCTAAAGCCCTCTTTAGAATGTAAGCTACATGGAGAATAGGGATTTTTGTCTCTTTCATTACAAACTATATCTCCATAGCATCTGGAATAGCACATCATAAACCTTCATGAATATTTGAATTAATTGACAAATGAATTGTATAATTAGAGTAAGTGCCTATTAAGAGCTAGGGATTGCAGAGAGCTGCAGAAGGCATGAGAATGAGAGGGAACTAACAGTTTCCAGTCTGTGGGCATCTCAGAGAGAAAACGGGACTTAGTGTGGCAGTGACTGTCCATTCCTTTCATTTCTCTGTCCCTCTCGTTTCAGGTTTTATTAACTTTGGATGATGACCTTGATGTGGTTCGGAGAGACCAGATTCCTGTCTTCTGAACCTCCAACATTAAGAGGAGGGGAGGGAGTAATCAATCTTGGTGCTGTTTCACGAAAATTACAGTGACCACAGCAAAGTAACCACTGCCAGATGCTCCACTCACCCTCTGTAGAGCCAGCTCTGCTTTCACACAGGAAAGACAGGGGCTGCGGGAGATTTAAACCTGCAAGAAGGGAGGCAGACGGGGAACCATATTTTGAGGATAGACGCAAACCTGAGGAGCTGAGAAACACTCACTCCTTCCATCTGCAGCTCTGGGAGTGCAACAGGGACAGGCGCTGCACCCAAGTCAACTCGCCATCTTAGGGCCCCTCCCACCCTCAAGGAGACTTGCCGGCAATGGCAGAATGCTGCTGCACGCTTCCCTCCGGTTGTCGCCCTGCCCAGAAAGGCCAGCAGCTTGGATTCCTGCCCAGAAACTGTGTTGGCCCCCTTCACACCTCTGCAACACCCGCTGCTCCAGCAGGAGGATGTGATTCTTTAGAATATGGTGGGGAGGTGACCCCAGGCCCTGCCCTACTGGGATAGATGTTCTAGTGGCACCAGCTAGTCACCTCCCAGAAGAAACTCTGTATATTTCCCCCAGGTTTCTGATGCCATCAGAAGGGCTCAGGAGTGGGGTTTGTCACACATTCCTGTTAACAAGTAACTGTCACCGGGACCAAGGCCTGGGTGCTTACATATTCCTTCGTGTCTTCATCTCACTGACCTGTGTGGACCTCATCACTCTGACTCTGCCTTCTTGGAAAGGCCCTGTCACTCCACAGATGTCTGGCCAGCTTCAAGGCAGAAGGAGAAACAGGGAAAGCTCTTTTAACAGCAGCACGAACAAGAAAAATGACTAACCATACTAAAAGACTGGTAACAGCAGCAGCAGCCAGACAGGCCTCACCTTAAGGACTTGGGCTGCCAGAGCAAATTCAGCAGCGTGAGCAGTGCTTACTTGGCCCTCCCATTCACACAGCTCAGTTCTGTGCCCACATCACCTTTAGGGAAGAAATCAGCGTTCTAACCAGGGACACTACTTCAGGAGTCCTCCACAGCAAGTCTGCCATCTGTCACCTTATGTAGATCAGGGTTCTGGGCTTCCTCCCTGAAGTTCTCAGAAGCAACTCTCAGGATGCACAGCTAATCTAGTATTGTCTAGTATTGTCTCTCGGTTGCACCTGACTCTCATTCTCTCCCCAGTAAGGTGTTGGCAAGCTCAGCATCCGGGTTCCACTCTCACACTGTCTGGCATTTCTGTGTCTGAGAAGTCCTACATTGACCAGGCTCCCTTGTTGCCTGGAGTCTGATGTAATCAGAAAATAGACGCATAAATGTGCACATGCGTATATATTTGCTTGTGAAATTAAAGTCACCTCTCGCCTCTGCTTTCCTGATCATTTGTTAGAGACATGGATCAGGAATTTTTTAAAATTATTATTCTTTCTCTAAACTATTTGCATTGTGTTCATAAACCCATTTTAGAAGTTTGAACCGCAAGCTTTTCCTGATTTTAAAAAAAAAAAGATGCTTTCAATGAACTATTCTGTGATTTTTTTTTAAAGTCCCCAAATATGTACTTAGCCTTCTGTTATTCTTTATTCTTTAAGAAGTGTTGGTTCCATTGACCATAATAAGGCCACCAATTAAATGGTTGTGTTAATCCAACATGTAAAAAAAAATTTGGCGGGGCACAGTGGCTCACGCCTGTAATCCCAACACTTTGGGAGGCTGAGGCAGGAGGATCACTTGAGCCCAGGAGATTGACGCGCAGTGAACTATGATTGCGTCCCTGCACTCCAGCCTGGATGACAGAGTGAGACCCCCATCTCTTAAAAAATGAAAAATAATAAAGATTTGAACCTGTTTCACTATGGCTGGTTTGACCTAATTTCTTTATCTTCACGCACTATGATTTCTAATCCACAGAAGACGAAGGGAGGAAATGTGAACACAAAGTCCATTCAAGTCGCCCTGTGGCTGAAGTGAATAAATTTTCAGATGCATAACCTGTTTGGTAGCTTGTTCGGGAAAATGTGAGTCGAAATGGGGAGAGGGCCCTGGAGGAAAGGGTGGACTGTGCTGCTGGAGCCTTCACTGTTTTCTGATCACGTCTGTCTTGTGCTACAAACTCACACGCTGTGGTCAGTTTTGTTCTTGCAACAGTACTGCAAATCCAGACCAGGCTTGTTTTTACAAATACCAGTTCTAAATGTACATGTTGCTAATTCTTTCCACAGCGCCAGTCTCACGGTTGGAGGACATAAAGTCATTCAGCTGTATCTGTAGGATTTACGCAAGTGCTGGGGTGGAGGGGAGCACGGAGAGCTTAAAGAGCTTAACGAGCCATTTCTGTAGTACAGTGTCTATGATAATTCTCGCCCGGGTTCATGGACTTCACTCTTTAAAAGGGAAAGGAAGAGTTACTCAGAAAGCCGAGTTCAACAGGAGCGTAACTGGAGAAAAGCAGTCACTGTGAGGAGGCTGTTGGCAAAGCAAGCACAGAAGTAATAAGAGCGGTTCAGCTGGAGCAGGACCGAGATGTAGCAGCCAGAGGCGCAAAGCTGTGCACATAAAAAACGACCTCTTCACACCCCTGACAAATGCTGGAGAAGCAGCCCGACCTCTTTATGCTCCACGGTTTACTGATGGATTTGCCCGGTTTTATTTTAGCAGCAGGAGAAGCCAGTGGAATGCCAGAGTCTATCTGGGGAAGGGACTTTCCATGACTGAAGGAGGTCACCGAGCTAGCTCCTTGGGGCAAAGAAAATGGCAGCTGCTCTCTATGTAACTCCAGGCACCCACCAGAAGTTTCTGTGGGGTCACAAAATGCATGTGTTGGTAAATCAAATACCCAAATCCTCCTCAATATGGGTGATGGTCTCTATCCAAAACGTAGGGGAAAGGGAGGAACAAAGATAAACACTATTCACAGAAGGAACAGTACAATCTGTAGAAGATTCTGGAGTCCACCTACTCGCGGTGTGCCCGTGGGTAAGTGGCTGAAACTCTCACATCTTCAGCTGGCACATCTCCATGATTCTATGTGAGAACGGTGAAGGTGGAGGTGTGCAGGGTACCAGCAGCAGTGCTCACGCAGACGGGATCCTCAGCTCACCCTCCTGAATCCCAGAGGGAGGCAGGGCAAGAGTGGATCCGTCGGCCAGTCTGGGATCTCTCTCCTCCAGGGGCTCTTCATTGAAACCAACTGTTCCGTTTCCTGTCCTCAGCTCCAGGAGGCCCTGAACAGGTTGGGAGGCCTCTTCCCCTTCAGAGACACTGCCCACAGCTGTTCAGCCTCCTCCCATCCCTACCCCCATCTTTGTCCTTTGTGGCTGCATTTCCCCGACTCTGGCCCTGAATATCCTTATTCCACCTCCGATGAAAAAAAAAAAAAGCTACCAAAGCTAGGGCCAAGTGGGAAAGCCTGGCTATCTATAATGTGACACCTCATCACTGCTGTCTCTGCCCTGGGAATCTCAAGGAAAACCTAAGTTTTCTCCTCTCGAGTAGCTATTTATTACAACCCTGTTTCAGGGAATGCCACGTGCAAATGTTTCCCTCCCTTCACACCCTTATTACCAAACATTCTGTAGGACAAGCTTGCGTCTTCAGCTAAGGAGAACGCTTCGGCCTACAGGTGACAAAAGAGTCCCTGAAAGTGGAAGCATGGTTTTGAAATGAACCACCATGAATCTAATGTCCCTGGTGAAACTAAGAAGAAGCACTATCGGTAAAGATTCTATCTGCTCTGCTCGAGTCAATGGAAAACGCTTGTTTACCGTGATTCCACCCAGCTTGTAGTAGTTTTGTTTGTTGTTGTTGTTGTTGTTTTAACACTGGAGGAGACAAGATATATTTACATGGCTAAGTTTTAATGTCTCCTCAAGACGAAGGCACCTTTGTTAACAAGGTTAAGTGCATGTTAAATCTTAGGCCTGAATGCTCACGAATTCGAGGAATCTGGGGAAGAGTCACAGATCGCCTTCACCGCTGAGTTTCTGGAACACCAGAGCAAGAGGGTTTCACCTGGGTCTCCTCTGTAGAAAGAGACCTCTACTCAATGAACTCCAAGGCAGGGCCCGTTTACACTGGACAGCTTTCCTGAAGCATGGTCTTGCTATTCTTATTGGAGTACAAAAAAGACTAGATGGTCACCGTTGTTCATGAAGAAGTACCCTTTGCTCCCCCAATTTTAGAGAGAAGATCCCTGCCTTCTTAAATATCTCTAGATCAAGAGATTTTATCATTTTCCCTGAATTCTTAAAATTGTTTAAATTCCTTGGCTCTGTCCTACATCCTTTTGTCTGCCTTGAAGTCCCTGTCATCTAAGGTTTATTCATTTCACTGGAGATGAACAACAACTGGCATTTGTGTAATATAAAATAGCCTTGAAGTCATGTTACATTTCAGTCAAGTACTAAATAAAAACTAGGGGTCCCATCTCTTGTCCCAGCATTATAGTTATGATTTAGAAGTCAACAGATTTAAACAGTGGAAGATTTTCAAATCAGGGCAAGAGAAATCTGATATACAGTCTCGACATGGCTTGCTCCTGGGCCCCTGTTTTATATTTAAATCTTGACTTTTTTGTGTGAAATTATGACTCTAGGTGTTTTAAGCGGAATATCATCCAAAATAATTCAAACAATCTCTCTTTTAGGGTGCTGCAACATTACCATCCCAGGAAGAAGTGGGTTTGCATTTTATGATTTACATTAAATTGTTTATCTGAACCTTTCACAAGGCACCCTGGTACTAGACAGGCGTCTTCTAGGAAACAGGACATATTTAGGCATGAGGTTTACTCTGCTTTTATCTCAACATGGGACACCTTGCGAAGTAATAAGCTTTTTGAGGGGGTGCTTTTCCCCTTTATTCTCTCATCACATCTCTGTTCACTTACATAGAATCAGAAATACAGTTTTACTAAACAGTCACGAAATACTTGGGCTAGGCACTGTGAGAAACTGGGCACAGCAGTGAACAAAATGCACACCATCCCTTCCGACATGTGGTCTACAGTCCATTAGGGTAGATGGACATGGAAAAAACAGATGATTATAATCTGTTTGTGATAATCAGGCCAAAAACTACAAGAAGAGAACATCCTTATAAGAATCTTATCATTACGTGCAGAACAGAAAAAATATTCAAGTAACTCTCAGCAATGTTTATGCTGAAATGTAAAGCCCTAATTGCTGATAGCATCTCTCTCACAACCGAATTCCTTGAGAGCATATTTGGTTCTGGAGGCCTCCCTAAGAGACCTCTTCAGGGAGGTTCAGGCTTTCTCTGTCTATGGTTCCCAGTTACCACAAAACCAAACACAGAAATAAAGCAATTAGGGAGACCCTGCTTGGGCTCTGGTATCAGAGAAGGATGCTGGTTCTCAGGGAAGGGTGACTTTGAAGAAATAGGCTTCTCACTGAGATTCCTCCAAACATGTCTGAGAATTTCAAGTTGACTTTCAAAGGCTAGAACTTTATAATAATTATGTGGATGGAACGTTCACGAAAAGGAAAACTGAGATGCAGCAAGAATAACGTAAACCTGGAAGACCTTGAATGGAGACTCATTCGAAGGTCAAGCTCAAGCAGTTAGTGATTTCTGAAAGCCTAAGGGGGAAGGGAACAGATATGATTTTAGCCTGAACCATCCCTAAAAGCTGTGAATGTGGAAGGTGACTTTAAACAAGAAGGTCAATGAGACTGGATTGGGACAAACAGGGAAAGATAGCTGCTTCTTTGAGTAATGGAAGTTAAGAGCTAAGCTAGAAGGAAAAGAAAATTACTTAACTTCATGAAAAGCATTGGGTAGTAGTGTTGATGACACAGATGACGCATGGAGTCTGCAGAAGGCCGTTTCAATGTCTATAAAATGGGTTGCGGATGGGGGACTAAAGGAGGAGGAAAAACTTTTGAAGGGGTGGGCTTGATCTTGTTTTCAAACAAACTGAAAGCAAAAAGAAAGGAAGCCTTGGGGTCCACTGAGCTGAGACTACAGCGACTACTTACTACAGGCAGAATTTTAAAATATCATATTGGGACTAACAGGGAAGCTTACAGCCTATCGGACACCTACAGCCTGGCCTGTCCTGCCCTGGGGAGGTGAATAACTATCATTCCTAGGTAAAAGGGGAGAAGTCAGAAAAATAAGAAAGATGATTTAACTGATGACTTCAAAGTTTTCATAAGAAAAATGAAAGTCCCAGTTTTGATCTCAGCAGAAAACAGAGATCTAGAGAGAAGGATAATTGGAGTGGGGATGATTTTATTCCATCCTTGAAGAAACAAAAATAGCTCCTCTGCCTAACTCTTCCTAAGAAGTTGCAACAACCTCACTCTGCTAGAGGACAAGTATGGGACTGAAGCTTTCAGTCTGCCCTCTTAGTGGGATCTTACTATTGGAAACTTATGTCCTCAATTCCTACCTTCCAATTTCTACTTATAGAACATTAAGGTTGGCATAACTGGTCATTAAAACAGCCACCATTTGGCTGGGCGCGGTGGCTCACATCTGTAATCCCAGCACTTTGGGAGGCCAAGGCGGGTGGATCGCTTGAGGGCAGGAGTTCAAGACCAGCCTGGCCAATGTGACGAAACCCCATCTCTACTAAAAATACAAAAAATTATGGCCCGGTGCTGTGGCCCATGCCTGTAATCCCAGCACTTTGGGAGGTCTAGGCGAGTGGATCACCTGAGGTCAGTAGTTCGAGCCCAGCCTGGTCAAAATGGCAAAACCCTGTCTCTACTAAAAATACAAAAAAAAAAAAAAAAAAAAAAATTAGCCAAGTATGGTGGCTTGCATCTGTAATCCCAGCTACTCGGGAGGCTAAGGCAGAAGAATCGTTTGAACCCGGGAGGCTGAAGTGGCAGTGAGCTGAGATGGCGCCACTGCACTCCAGTCTAGGGGACAGAGCAAGACTTCATCTAAAAAAAAAAAAATTAGCTCAGCGTGTTGGCATGCGCCTGTAGTCCCAGCTACTCAGGAGGCTGAGGCACAAGAATCTCTTAAGCCTGGAAGGTGGAGGTTGCAGTGAGCCATGATTGCACCACTGCCCTCCAGGCTGAGCAACAGAGTGAGAGTCTGCCTCAAAAAAAAAAAAAAAAAAAAAAAACCATTCATCATTGGGCACTCTGCTAAGGGTTTTATACACATAACCACATCTAATCCTGAAAACCTCCCTGAGAAGTTATTACTATTACCATTAGTTCCATTTCCTAGATGGAGAAACTGAAACTTGGAGAAGTCACTGTTCAGTAGATGAAGTGAATGGTGCAGAAACCTGGGCTAATAGGAATGAGTGGCTCAGGTAATAAGAACAGAGAGAAGGACAACAGACTGTGCTGCAATGAAGATTCACCTTTTATTTTTGTGTGTACCTATATGTGCAAAACACAGGCCTAGAATTATATAACTGTTGACGGTATTAACAAAAAGGAAAGCATTTTCCAAAATATGGAAGATATATGCCTGATATACAAACCTGAGTAACAATGGAACTCACTGTGTCTTACGAAAGCTAATCAATAAAACCGCGGCTGTGGAGCATTTTGGCTCTCTAAACTGGAACAGCTGGATTTCTATAAGGACCATTGCTTCAGGTTCTAAGCTTATAAAGTTAAGAACCAAAGTCCTTTTTATAAATTCAATGATTGCACTTGGCAAAGCACTGTAGACCCAAAGATTCATTTTAAATTAAAATACATGTGGCATAAAGCATCAGGTTACTACTGGGAGCCTGTTGTTTCAAAAACGAAATTTAAAATGGAGAGAAAGCACAGGAATGTAGTGAGGTTATTTATTTTCTAAAAAACATTCAGTAGCCCAGTGCGCTGGCTCATGCCTGTAGTTCTAGCGCTTGGGGAGGCCAAGGCAGGAGGACCACTTGAGGCCAGGAGTTTGAAACCAGCTTGGACAACATAGCAAGATCCTATCTCTACAAAAAAAGAAAATTAGAGGTTAAAAAACATTCAAAAACTCAAAAAGTTGTCAGGAGTCTAAAAGTTCTCCAAAGCTGCCTCCAAAACCAATCTGTGCTGGCCCCATGGATCAGGCAGAATCTACAGCTCCCTCAGTGGTCAAACCATCTTTGTTCTTGGTCTCTGGGCCCAGCTCTCTCCTCCTATAAGGTAGTAGTTTCCTCCCAGCTACTTTAAATTTTCTTCCCCAAAAAAATTTAAAGAAAAATTTTAGGCTGGGCACAGTGGCTCACGCCTGTAATCCCAGCACTTTGGGAGGCCAAGGTGAGCAGATCACGAGATTGGGAGATCTAGACCATCCTGGCTAATATGGTGACACCCTGTCTCTACTAAAAATACAAAACATTAGCCAGGTGTGGTGGCAGGCACCTGTAATCCCAGCTACTTGGGAGGCTGAGGCAGGGGAATCACTTGAACCCAGGAGGCGGATGGAGGATGCAGTGAGCCAAGATTGCACCACTGCGCCACTGCACCCTGGCCTGGCAACAGAGTGAGACTCTGTCTCAAAAAAGAAAAAGGAAAAGAAAAAGAAAAGGAAAGGAAAAATTTTAGACAAAGGAACCAGTTGCACTGGAACTAGTTGAACTGGAAAATCATATTTCCTCATTTAGGGTATAATGATAATGGTGATAAATGTTTCTAAGTTTGTCCAGAAATAAGACAAAAAAAGCAATAGGACTTGGTTTGGAACTCTGACATGCTAACATACTCCTGTATCACCTCCTGTGCTAAGCTGTCTGTTGGACTTTTTAAAAAATATATTTAAAGTGGGCCAGGCACAGTGGCTCAAGGCTGTAATCCCAGCACTTTGGGAGGCTGATGGGGCCAGATCACTTGACGTCAGGAGTTCAATCCCAGCCTGGCCAATATGATGAAACCCCGTCTCTACTAAAAATACAAAATTAGCTCATGTGATGGTGCGTGCCTGTAATACCAGTTACTCAGGAGGCTGAGGCAGGAGAATCGCGTGAACCCAGGAGGCAGAGGTTGCAGAGAGCTGAGATCGCACCATTGCACTACAGCCTGGACAATAGAGCGAGACTCTGTCTCAAAAAAATAAAAAATAAAAATATTTAAAGTGAATTTGCACATCACTTCATGGCAGCATTTTTTTAAAAAAAAAAAAGGTAGGGGGGATATAACCTAATCAAACCATGAATTCCTAGAAACCTTCCCAAACCAGTTAGTTCTACACAACTGCAGTCAGCCTGCAGCCTTTTTCCAAACCATGGATCTGAATGTGATTAAGCAACGTAAGAAACCACCACCAACCAGACCCACACAGCAGAAACTTAGTTAAAAGCTGGATGTTAGTATCTTCCCCCAAAATCTTCCCCAAAATCTGTAGCTTATTTGATCATGTGAAAAATTAAGTAGCACACTGATACTAGTTAACCAACCTACCTGACTTCTGAACTTATCCAGGAAGCTAATACGCAGTCCCAGCTGACTTATTAG